TCCATGCCTGAGCTTCCTGTGGCTGAACTTGCAGCTTCTTTTCCCTACTCAGGCACTAGTATATTATGGGGTGAACAGTATGAAGAGTAGTTACCATGGTTGGAAATGGTTCACCTTCCAGCTGTCCTCACTCTTGGGCTGTTTTCACTCTTGGGCTCTTTTGTTCTCTCCTTGTAGTGGCAGAGCTGGGGAAAAGGGCAGCCAATCCCCAGACAAGAGGCCTTTGAGGATGCTTAACATAGAAATGGTTTGGGTCTGAGTTAGGAGTGGTAACCTTGCCAACAGAAACAGCTTCTCTGTAAACTTAAACAACATAGGACAATTTACCAATACAATGTACACTGCAGCTGAAAATCTACAGAAGCTGGCTGCTTTTGGTTGGTTGGTTTCTGTTTGTTTTTGTTTTTCTTGCTACAAGTTTTCTCTGTGTAGCCCTGGTTGTCCTAGAACTTGCTCTGTAGACCAGGCTAGCCTCAAACTCACAGAGATCTTCCTGCCTCTGCCCTTGCCTACCTAATGCTGGGATTATAAACATGCACCATTGCAGCAGGATATTTGATTATTGTCAATCCCAAAATTGTGAACTGCAAAAACCTGTTTCTTATTTGGTGTGGTTCAGACCTAACACACACCTTTAATCTAAGAACTTTCTGTTTATTGCAAACAGGTGATTATGGTTTGGCTCAGTTCTAGCACACACCTTTAATTCAAGAGCTTTTTGTACTCAGGCTTTAATAAAGTTAACCTTGGGTCTCTTGAGCAAGAAACCAGCTAATGAGAATTAAGTAGAAAGGAGAGACTTTGAGTTGAAGGGTATTTAAGACACTGTGGAGAAGAATAAAAAGCTTTTAGCTTTGGGTGAGCTAGGAGGCCTTTTTCTCCTGGGTTGTCAGCTGAGCTAAGGAACTTTTGGTTTTTAGCTTTTGGTTGAGACATAAGCTGAGTAGGAAGGTCAGCTGGGTGCTTTCTCTGCCTCTTTGAGCTAGCAGGTTTTCACCCCAGCATCTGGCTCCTGAGTAAAATCAAATGATTGGTAAAATCAAGTGATTTTCTTTTTTTAAAACAACATGCCACCACCATCTGGCTAACATTAAAAGACTTTTAGCACATGAGATCTGTTGTTTTGTTTTGTTTTGTTTTGGAGACAGTTTCTCTGTGTGGCCTTGACTGTCCTGGACTCACTTTGTAGACCAGGCTGGCCTCAAACTCAAGAGATCCGCCTGCCTCTGCCTCCCAGAATGCAGGGATTACAGGCGAGTGCCACTGTGCCTAGCTGGCACATGAGATCTTAAAGCATAAATTCTAGCAGTATCCCATGCAGAGTGCACTAAGCTATTAAGTTCCTTATAACCCAAGTTCATATCTATAACCTACTTATAACACAATCTGCTTAGAATCAGCACTATGTCCTACCAGCTGAGGGCCTAGTCTCACAAGACTGTCATAGTTCTCAGTTGCAAGTACAGTTTGTTACATGTAGTTCTGATCAGTCATGTCTTTGGGTTTCTGTAGGTATGATAAACACATGGCCAAAAGCAACTTGGGGAGGAAAGGGTTTATTTCATCTCATAACTCTCAGGTCATTCCCCATCACTGAGGAAAGTGAGGCTCTCACTCACTGCTCAGCAGAAGCAGGTGGATCTTAATGATTTCAAGGCCAGGATGGTCTACAGAGGAAGTTCCAGGACAGCCAAGGCTACACAGAGAAACCCTGTCTTAGAAAACCAAGTGTTGTTTTATTTATAATTATTATTATAAGTGTGGGTGTGTATGTCCCATGTAATTGTGTGGAGGCCCACCACAGAAGTTGGCTGTCTTCTTCACCACATGGGGCCCAGGGATTGAACTCAAGTTGTCAGACTTAACAGTAAGCGCCTTTACCTGCTGAACCATTGTGCCAAACCATTTTGTGGTTGTTGGGTTTATTTGTTTGTATTTGTATTTGGTTTTTATTTATTTATTTATTTGAGATAAGGTTTCTCTGTGTTGTTCTGGCTGTCTTGGAACTCTTTCTGTAGACCAAGCTAGCCTTGAACTCAGAGATCTGCCTGCCTCTACCTCCGGAGTGCTGGGATTAAAGGCATGTGCTACCATTGCCTAGCTTTGTTTTTGTTTGTGTTTGTTTTTTGTTTTAAGTTAGGGTCTTATATAATTTGGCTAGTCTTAAACTCATGATCTCCCTGCCTCCACCTTCTTGTGCTGGGCTCACAGGTGTTCTCATCATAGAAGGCTTCCCACATTTCTGATCACAAGACATTCCAGAAGACTGTTGTCAGCATGTCCCAATTCCATGTGGATCTAGTCAGAAATGACAGCAGTGTACCGTATGGAAGACCACACTTTCTGTCCTCTGAATCAACAACCAGACATGGAAAACAGGCCCAGGGCACAAGGGAAAACCACATGGAATTAGAAATTATAACCCTCTCCACACCCAGATTGCATACCACTAGCTTTTTTATTGTTTTTCTTGTTGTTTTTTTTGTTTGTTTGTTTTTGTTTTGTTTTTTGAGATAGGGTCTTGTGTAGGCCAATGTCTTAGTTAGGGCTTCTATTTCTGTGATAAAATAGCATCATCAAAACAACTTGGGAAGAATATGTTTCTTTCATCTTACTCTCAGATCACTGAGGGTATTCAGGGCAGGATCTCAAAGCAGGAACCTGGAGGCAGGAACCAATGGAAGATCCATGGAGGAATGCTGCTTCCTGGCTTGATCCTCATGGCTTGCTTAGCCTGTTTTCTTATATAACCCATGACCACTTGCTCAGGATTGAAACTGCCTAACCGTACAGGCCATTCTGATAAAGGTGTTTTATCAATTGAGAGTCCCTCTGCCCAAATGACTCCAAGTTATATCATAAAACTATCCAGCATGCTCAGGCTGGCCTAGAACCCAGTGTGCAGGGGAGGATGGAAGGCTGGGATTCTATCACACTTGGCTTGTTTAGTGCTGGAGGTGGGATCCAGTGCCCAGTGTGTGCTAGGCAAGTACTCCACCCAGCCGTGACTTTAGCCCTTCAGTTTTTAGATTTACTGTATTTGAATGTGTTTGTATGAGTGTTTCCCCTGCGGAACTTGACAGCAGCTTGCCATCAAAGCAGGGTATTTGTTTGTTGTTTTTCAGTCAGCTTAGCTGTTCTGAGTCTTCTCATCAGTACTTACTTCTGTATAACCTTGGGGAAGGAAAGGATTGTCCATGTGCTAGGTTTTTAGGACTCCCTGAGAGTTGTTCACTTCCTGAGTCATTCTTTTTCCCCTGAGACAGTATTTCTCTGTGTAGCCCTGGCTGTCCTGGACTCACTTTGTAGACAGGCTGGCCTCGAAATCAGAGATCCACCTGCCTCTGCCTCCCCAAGGGTAGGATTAAAGGCTTGTGTCACTATACCCAGCTTATTATATTTTTTAAAGAGAGAATCTCACTGTATAGCCATGGCTGGCTTAGCACTTGCTATATAGACCAGGGTGGCATTGAACTCAAAGAGCCACTGCCTGTGCCCCCTGAGTGCTGAGATTAAGGGTGTGTCCACCACACATGATCCAACTTCTGAGTCTTTTTTTTCATAATTGATTTTTATTTTATGTTCATTGGTGTTTTGTCTGCATGTTTGTGTGAGAGTGTCAGATCCCCTGGAATTGGAGTTAGACAGGTGTTAGCTGCTATGTGGGTGCTGGGAATTGAACCAGGGTCCTCTGGGAGAGCAGCCAGTACTGTGACCACTGGGTCATTTCTCCAGCCTCTACAACTTCTCAGTCTCCATTAGAAGTTTTTGGGAATTCTAGCTTCTTTATTGTCTCAGTGATTAAACTCTGACCAAAGCAACTTAAGGTAGAGTAAGGTTCATTTCATCTCACACTGTTCATCAGCTGCTGCTGAGGGCAGCTGGGGCAGGAACTCAAGCAGGAGCTTGGCACAGAAGCTGTAGAGGAAGGCTGCCTGCTAGCCTGCTCTCTGACTCGTTTGGATACCTTTCCTACACCCAGGACTACCTACCCAGATCCCTGGGGCTGGAGTTCTGAGCACTGGGAACTGAACACAGACCTTCTGGGAGAGCAGCCAGTTCTTTACCTCTGAACCACCTCTCCAGCCCCAGAGATTTTATTTAATATTCCTTTGAGGAAGGGAATCTTTTTTTTTTTTTTTTTTAAAGACAGGGTTTCTCTGTGTAGCCTTGGCTGTCCTGGACTCACTTTGTAGACCAGGCTGGCCTCAAACTCATAGAGATCCTCCTTCCTCTGCTTCCTTGAGTGCTGGGATTACAGGTGTGCACCATTGCACCTTGCTTTTCTTTTTTTTCCCCATATACATTTGACACATTGCTTGTTTTTAAGATGCTCATGGAGCCAGCACCAGCGTCAACCAGTATCTTCCTGCCTCACCCTCCCCAAGCCCTGGGATTGTGAGCCTGTGCCACATAGCTGCCCACCCATCTACGTTAGCTTATTGAACTTTACAGTGTTTCTGGAAGGTGAGGCAGCCATAACCGGTTACGAGAAGGGAAGCTGAGGCAGAGAACCTAGGCTCAAACAGGAAGGCTGGCACCCAGCTCACAGGCATAGCCATCAGCCTCTGCCTCTCTTACATTAATTTCCTTCCAAGAGCCATGACTGCTTGGGGAGTGGGCTGTGGCTGCCAGCCAGGCATGAAAACAGAAGCCCAATCCTCCCTTGAGCCCTTCGGGCTGGATTCATCTTTTTGGGGACTCTCCTATGCCTCCCCCATCCACTGGCACCCCTGTTCCCATCTGTGGTCAGACCAAATACCAGCTAGGGTGAATGTCAGCGTTTCCTCAAACATTCCTCATCACTGTGGCTCAGTTTAGGCTGGCTGAGGTTATGAAAGTAGAGCGGGAGTGATTGGAGCAGACAGGGAGGGAGGGCTGGGCTAGATGGGCCTTGCCACCCTATCCAGCCTTCAGCCTGCCCTCTTCAGGGAGGGGAAGGAGATGGTATTCTCCTAGGCCCTATGATATAGCTGTATTTGTGTGTGTCCTTCTGCCCTATGCTGAGAGATGGAGGGCAGCTGTCGTCACAACAGACATTGGAAGTGACTGCTGGACCAAGCTTGGGGACAGGCATAGCAGGGATGACCATGGTAAGGTGGGCAGGGAGGGACTGAGGGCGGTCTGCCCATCCCTGCCTGGTTCTCCCCACAGGCTAGGTGCCCCTCAGAAGGGAACTCACCAGGCAGCCCTCTGACCCCTTGCTCCAGAGGCCTCAAGAGCTACTGCTGCTCCTGATGCTGAGGTGGCCAGCAGCACACATGGAAGACCCTGACTTTCCACACTTGGGTGACAGCTCACAGCCGCTGCCGAGGCTTTGCCCTTGGCGCTGCTCCTGTCCCCGAGAGGACACAGTGGACTGTGCTGGCCTGGACCTGAGAGTATTCCCGGACAATATCACCACAGCTGCTAGGCACCTCTCCTTGCAGGTGAGGGCTGGGGTCAGAGACCCAGAGAGGCACAAGGCCCAGGCAGGGTCCATGTGTACACATGCCAGAGTTGAACCTGTCCTTGCTCTGGGTCTGCTAAGCCAGGCCAGCACCACAGGTAGAAGCATCATGTGTCTGGAGAGCTGAGTTTGGAGTCAGCATCTTAGAAGGGGTAAAATTATTTTGGTCAAAAGACTGGTGGTGCATGCCTTTAATCTCATCACTTGGGAGGCAGAGGCAGGTGGAATTCTGTGTATTTGAGGACAGCCTGGTCTACAAAGCTATAGCCAGGGCTATACAGAGAGACCTTGTCTTGAAAAAAAAATCAACAAACAAACAAAAAATTTTAAAACAAACAACAAACAAAAAAATAAAAAAACAAACCAAGAGGCACTGAGTTCTGGGGCAATCTTTGTGATGTTGGAAGTCGCTTTGAGCACTCTGGGATAACTTGGAGCAAAAGGGTGCTGGGGGCTGAGGTCAGAGTCTGTTGTGGTGGCCCCCGCACTAAGCATGCTGAAGTAGGAGGATGGACACAAGTTTGAGGCCATTCTTCACTGTATAGCAAAGGCCTGTGTTGGGTACACAGGGAACAGGGGCACTAGAGAAGTGTCAGAGATCAGATTCAAAATGAGCAGCCTGTGTGGCCTAGGGCTCAGGGTAATGTGTTAATTGTTGGATGATGCAGCAAAAGCCCAGTGCCTTGCAAATCTCAAGGTTGTTTGGGATCCAAGAATGGGATGCTTTCTTCTCTCCTCCACCTCTTCCTCTGCTCTCTGGAGATATTAGGGCCTTACGGAAGTAAGCAAGTACTCTCTGCCACGGGGCTACAGCTCCAGGTTACAAGCTGAGGAGCAAGGGCCAGGCCTTGGTGTGAATGTCTCTCCTCCACAGAACAACCAGCTGCAGGAGCTCCCATACAATGAGCTGTCTCGCCTCAGCGGCTTGCGCACCCTGGACCTGCACAGCAACGTCATCTCCTCAGAGGGTGAGGGCCTCAGGCTGGGAACAAGCAGCTCCCAGCCTCACTCCACATCCGCTATTTGCCAGTTGTGGCCAGCTCTTCGGGGGTTTCCACAACTGCTGAGCATGGTGGAATTTCGAGGGTTGGGGGATGGTGGTAGCTGTGGCTTTTGAGTAAGGACAGGATGTGTGTGTTGAGGGTGGAGGGGAGGCCTAGGAACCCATGTTGGTCCCTCGCCTTCAGAGTGGGGTTACTAGAATGCTGGTCCCCTCATCCATTGCCTACTGTGCTCCCCCAGGCCTGCCTGATGAGGCCTTTGAGTCCCTCACCCAGCTAGAGAACTTCTACGTGGCCCACAACAAGGTGAGCCTGTATCCCTGAGAGGGCACAGCCTGGCTGGGGGTGGGGCTGGGGAGCAGGAAACCGGGCGCCAGGACGAGACGCTGTTGCTGTTGCAGCTCTCTGTTGCGCCCCAGTTCCTGCCACGCTCCCTGCGTGTCGCCGATCTGGCTGCCAATCAAGTGGCGGAGATCTTTCCTCTCACCTTTGGGGAGAAGCCTGCACTCCGGTAGCCTTAGCACCCGGCTCGGCCCCCCAACCTTTGATTCCAGGATCCTGCCCCCAGAGGCCACGGGGAAAATAGGCCTGTCCTGGGGGCATGTACTGGCCCTGCATAAGGAGAACCAGAGGACAGCCCTGTCTTGGAGGATCTGGGGCTTAGCTATGCACTGGGAGTGGGGTAAAAGAAAAGGCTGGCGGGCTCTGTTCTGGGGATCCTGGGGCATGGCCCTGCGCTGGGAGGTGGGGGTGTCAGAGAGGGCTCAGCTCAGTTTTGGGAGGTCTGAAACACTCAGCTCAGTTTGGGGCTATGTCCCCAAGTTGGGACCAAAGGGGCTTCAGGTCTGTGTGGGGAGCCGAGGGTTGTGGTACTGGGGGGGAACATGAGGGGTGAGCCAGAGCCCCACACACTATATCAAAAGTCTAGATGCCACCTACACCCCACACACACGCACGCACGCACACACGCAGGCATGCACACAGGCCCTTCACTCTCAAACAGGGGCTGTTGGCAACCCAGCTGGAGAGGGAGGGTGCTAGGGCACGTGTGGGAGGGGTGTGCGCAGGCATGGACCGTGGCAGCAGCCTGGCTCTCCTCAGGTCCGTGTACCTCCACAACAACAGACTGAGCAACAGCGGCCTGCCACCTAACACCTTCCGTGGTTCAGAGGCCGTCACCACCCTAAGCCTCTCCAGCAACCGGCTCAGCTACCTACCACCCAGCTTGCCAGCCTCCCTGGAGCGCCTTCATCTGCAGGTACCCTGCCTGTCATGCACGCGTGTGCACACACACGCACACACTCACACACACAGACGCCTGGGCCTGTGGGACTTCTCCACTCTCTGTGGCACTGCTCCTTTTCTGTCCTTTCAACTGCTCTCCAGAATTCCAGATATTATTAGAATAATCATTTTAAAACAGCAACGACAACAAAACCCCTTCCACTCCCTTCCAGACAAGGCAGGCTCCTGGCCACTCTCTTACTCGAGCCTTCTGTGGCTCCCACGGCGTCCCACGGCCTGACCCTCTATCGCCTTCTCTTCTCCCTTTGTAGAACAATCTCATCTCCAAAGTGCCCAGAGGAGCGCTGAGCCTTCACACCCAACTCCGTGAACTGTATCTGCAGCGTAATCAGTTGACAGACAGTGGCCTGGATGCGACCACCTTCAGGTAGGGACGCTGCAGTCCTGTGCCGGCAGCCGCCCCCTCCTTTGCAGGGTTCCTGATCCAGGACTTCATCTAGTGAGAGCCTAGTGCACACCCTGCTGCTCTGCCTGGCACAAAAGGTGTTACTGTAGGCTGCAATTCTTGCCGGTGTCCTTGTCCCCTGCTACCCTTTCTTGAGGTTCTATTACCCAAGAGTTATGGTGTTTGTGGTGGGGAGATAAGAGTCCAGGGTCTCACATATGCTAGGAAACAAGTCTACCACCTGGCCACAGCCCAGGCCCTCCCTACAGGGCTGTAGACGGGTGGACAGAAGCTCTGAGCTGAGCCTCAGCTCTTGTGGGTTTTGTTTCTCTGTGTAGCCCTGGCTGTCCTGAAACTCACTCTGTAGACCAGGTTGGCCTCCAACTCAGAGATCCACCTGTCTCTGCCACTAGAGTGATGGGATTACTCTAAGCCCTTCCCCCCTCTTAAAGACAGGCTTTCTCTACGTAGCTATGGTTGTCCTGGAACTTGCTATGTAGACCAGACCAGCCTCCAACTCATTTAGCTCTGCCTGCCTCTACCCTTTGATTGCTGGGATGTACACTGCAAGGCTCAGCTCGGTTTCTTTATTTTAATGTTTGTGGGTGATTTGCCTGCATGGCTGCCTGTGAAGCACGTCTGCAGTGCTGGAAGAGGGAAAAGGACAGTGGATCTCCTGGGACTGCAGTTAAGGCAACTGAGAGCTGCCGTGTGGGGAACTGAACCCTGGTCCTCTGGAGGAGTAGCCAGTGCTCTTAACTGCTGAGCCATCTCTCCAGCCTCACCCTAGAGTTTTTTGTTTTGTTTTGTTTTGTTTTTGTTTTTGAAAGACTGACTATATGTAGTCCAAGCTGGTGTGAAACTCCGAGTCCTCTTAGATCACCTCTGAGTGCTGGGATTCCATGCCTATGCTCATGGCCACTCTGGGCTGCCACATGCCAGTCTTCCATATCATAGCAATCCTTGCTCCATCACTCTCTACTTGAAATCTCCAGTCTAAAGGAGTCTTAAAACCATTTTTTTTTTTCCTTTCTGGTAAGATTTATGGGGTCCAGTTCTTGACGTGACCATTCCATCACCTCTCTCCCAACAGCAAGTTGAGCAGCCTTGAGTACCTGGACCTGTCCCACAACCAGCTGGCCACCGTGCCTGAGGGTCTACCTGGCTCGCTGACCATACTGCACCTGGGTCGCAACTGCATCCGGCAGGTGGAAGCGGTGAGGCTGCACAAAGCAAGGGGCCTGCGCTACCTGCTGCTGCAGCACAACCAGCTGGGGGCTTCGGCGCTGCCCGCGGGGACGCTGAGGCCTCTGCGGGCCCTGCACACGCTGCACCTCTATGGCAACAGGCTGGAGCGCGTGCCCCCCGCATTGCCCCGACACCTACAGGCCCTGGTGATGCCCCACAATCGCGTGGCCGCGCTAGGTGCGCGGGATCTGGTGTCTGCGCGAGGGCTGGCCGAGCTCAACCTGGCCTATAACTGCCTGGCCAGTGCACGCATACACCCCCACGCCTTCCGCCGCCTGCGTGCCCTGTGCAGCTTGGACCTAGCCGGTAACCAGCTGAGCCGTCTACCCGAGGGCCTACCTGCCAGTTTGCGTTCACTGAGACTGCAACGCAACCAGCTGCGGGCCCTGGAGCCAGAGCCACTTGCCGGCCTGAATAAGCTCCGGGAGCTGAACCTGGCGCACAACCGGCTCCGCGTGGGCGACATTGGGCCGGGCACCTGGCACGAGCTGCAAGCGCTGCAGGTCAGGGGTTAACTACAGTGTGTGGGTACTCCATCCCACCTATGGTCCAGCTCTGAGCCCGGGCATGCCACAGAGCCCCACGTGGGCAGCCTGGGATAGCTAAACCCCTGCCCAGGTTGTTGCTGATAGGCCCCCACCTTCTGGTGGAGGACCTCACTTCCGAGCACTCCTGCATTTTAAGGGGTGCCTGTGGTCTCTAGGTTCTGGCAACCTAGCTGAGCACAAGGCAGGGAGGGCCCTTAGCCCCTCTCTGACCCCAAGCATCCTAGTTAGAGTAAGAGACCATCTGGGTAATCACAGAAGAGACAGTGTGAGAGTGAGCTGCAGAGCCAGGTGTGGGGACCCCTTGGGTAGGGGGCTGAGGTAGAAGGATTGAGTTTGAAGCCCTCTGAGACTATGGAAAGAAGAAAGGGGAGATGGGAAAGGGAATGGAAGGAAACGGAACGAGAGAAAAACGGTGTAAGGGAGGGATGTGAGGGACTACCATCTTCATACCCTTGAGTCTTGCTGAATCTACCTCCCATGGAGTAATCTGAAATAGATCAGGCTCAGTGGATCTCTATGGAGTGAAAGAATCTGGCAACCATTACTAACAGGGATCTGGAGGAGGCCTGAGCCTGGCATAGAACTATCAGCAGACTGGGGAGGAAGGGGCTGGAAGCAAGGCCTAGGTCCTGAGCCCACCATGGTGCTGTGTCTGTCAGGTACTGGACCTGAGCCACAATCAGCTATCTTTTGTGCCGCCTGATCTACCCGAGGCCCTGGAGGAGCTTCATCTGCAGGCAAACCGTATCAGCCATGTAGGCCCAGAGGCCTTCCTCAGCACACCCCGCCTACGCGCCCTCTTTCTCAGGTGAGGGATAGGGGAGTCTGGATGAGGACAGTAGCTCACCTGTCACTGCCCTAACACCCCGCCTTTCTGCACAGGGCCAACAGGCTTCACATGACAAGCATCGCAGCCGAGGCCTTCCTGCGGCTTGTACACCTACGTGTGGTAGACACTGCAGAAAACCCAGAACAGGTCCTGGTCCAGCTGCCACCAAAGGGCAAGGGGCCCTGAGCCCTGAGGGGCTAGCCAAGTAGCCCTGGCCTGATCTCTGATGGACTGTGGACTAAGAAAGTTCTCAGTCAGGGCTTTGGAGGCTGGGCCTGTTCTGCCCAGAGCTGGCCAAAGCATGAGGAGCAGGTGTCTCCTAGGGGAGGCTAGGGGCTGAAGCAGGAAGTGTGCTGTCTTGAACATTCTGGGCCGCAGACTACACCCTCCACCGCCGACAGTGATGGGGAAAATAAAGCAGCCGTCCTTTCATGTTCACGTGGGACTCAGTGCCCAATGAGAGCCATCTCTCCCCCACATCTCTAAGGAGTGTCTTTCCCATCCCACTTGGGTCCAAGTATGGAGACGAGGCTCCAGGATACAGTCAGTCAGTTTGGTCCCATGGCCTGTGACTGAGTGGATAGCCTGAGACAGACACATGGGTCACCAAACAGTGTCCTGCAGGGTCCAGCCTTACTGCGTAAGCCCAAAAGGCCCAAGCTACAGGCTCACCCAGGCCTTTCCAGGGAACTGGGCTGAGTGGGGAGGCCCAGGCCAGCCGCTGAGGGTGCCACATCAAGGAAAAAGGACGAAGCCGAGGCAGGCCTTGGCCGTTTATTCTGTTGGCCCTAGTGGGATGGGGGCAGGTGGGCCAGCACAGTCCCTAGAGAGCCAGCTGAGCTTGACAGCCTCAGAGGCATCTTTGGAGAGGGCTGTGGGGTTAAGACTGGGGAGGGGCAGGAAGTAAAGTGCTTGCAGGGCCCTCTGGGCTTGTGACCCAGCTACCCTCCTTGCTCCAGATGCTCCTGGATGTGCAAACAAGACTCTCCAAGGCCCAACCAGCCAGGCTGGGGTGAGAGTGCTGTCCCAATGCCCCTGTGGCCAGGGGCCTGGACAGGGCGAGTCCAGAACCAACTGTCCGCTGATTGTCTGCTTGTCTGCTCGGTGGCCCTGGAGCTCGGCCTGGCACTGGGCTGTGGGGCCTGGAGTCCAGGGATGGCCTCACCTGCGGAGTCTCTGCAGCTGAGGGAGACACAGGGTGTCAGGGACCACCACCACCAGGTGGGGCCCTCACCTCTGTGGCCACTTACCTCGCTCTCCACCAGGTTCCGCCGGTACAATGCCTCCTTTGCGGCCTCCTAGGGGAAGGGGTGATTGGCTGACAGTCCAGGATGACCCTGACTATAACTCAGCACCCACCTCACAGACGCAACTTACCCTGCTTCCGTCATAGCCCAGGCGCCGGGCAGCTTCTGTGTAGAAGTGTAGCTGGCGCTCCAGATGGATTGCATACTCTTGAGAAGTGGGAGAGGGGGTCAGGGCTAGGCAGCTGCTTCTCCCCACTTTTGTGGAACCCTGCCCCATTCCAGGGTTCTCAGTTCCCTCCCACTGTACACACTTCTCTCCTAGCAAACAGGCCCCTCTCCAGGCACACCCTTCCCCAGCCCCACTCCTGCCCTACCCCTTCGGATGGCAGCACCCCCCTGTTCCAGCTGTGCCCTCTGCCACTGGCTACGCTGTACTACGTCCTGGTACTGCTGGGCCACTTCTGGGGGCACAGGCCGGCGTGCCTGCCTCAGGGCCAGGATCTGGAGGGTACAAAGAGAGCTATGAGTCAATCTGGAGCCCATCCTTAGGCCCACCCCACTGAGCCCAGCAGGGCAGGCACCTACCTTCCTTTCTAACCGCTCTTGGTCAAAGGCCAGCACGCTAAGGCTATGCAGGGGCCGTGCTGATCTGCAGGGCAGAGAGGGGGATGAAGGGCTACAGAGGAAGTGGTGGCTCCAGAGGAGGCAGCTGGGCAGAGGCATAGGGAGGAAGAGTGCGGCTAGGGGATCTCAGAAGGGCCTCCAGAAGTCCAGAGACCAGGAAAGAGTAACCGAGGCTGGAGGTTCTGGGTATGCCTGTCATCCCAGCACTCAGGAAGGAGGCGGGGGGTCATGAATGAGTTTGAGACCTGCTTGAGGGAAAGAGAGACAAAGAGATAGAGACATGGACAGAAGAAAAGTAGAAGAGTAAAGAAAGAAGAAGCTAAATATGTTGACAATGGTCAGATCACCAAAGGTTTTAAAGATCAAGCAGAGGCTTTTAAACTGAATTCCCTGAGAAGGGGTTGTCAATGGTTCTGAAGTCGGACAGGATATGGTCTGATGTGCCTGATGGAAACTACAGAAGGAACTGAGACGAGAGGACTTACTTCAGTGTGGCCTAGCCCCGACTTACCTATTCCCTGTTTCCCTCGAAGAGGCAGGTATGGGGGCCACCTTTGCTTTGGGCCCAGGGACCTGTTTTGGTACATAGAACCAATCCCATGAGTACTGGGTCCCTGACCGCAGCTCCATTCCCAGAGGTGACAGATCCGCCAGGGACTCACTGTGCTCACAGCTGCTGGAAGGTGATCAATGACCAGCCACCTCTCAGTTGTAGTCTCCAACTGCTGGGCTGTCAGTGGCTCCCGGATCCGAACCATCACTTCAAGCCGGCCCCCTGTGGGCCGGCGACCATCCAAAACCTAGGCAGGAATGAGAAGTCAAGAGGTCAAGAGCAGCCACCTCTAACAGGAGCCCTTAGAAGTGCCAGGGACGACTGGTGACAACAGAGCATGGTGCCGAGCATCCGAAAGCTCCTGCCTCACCTCCAGGATCTCATGGACTTCGCAAGCTGTCTCCAACATATCCAGCTTCAGCTGGGCTGTACCCAGCACCCTGTCAGTCTTGAATAGGCCCCTGTGTGGAGGAAGGTGCAATGGTTGGCATGCAGTTCCACTCAATGGGAGCTTAGAACCTGTGAACCCTGGCTCACCCCTTGTGGACCACTTCGAACTTGATGCCCTTGGTTTGGATGGCCCTTCGGAAGCCACGGTGGCCACGGTTGATGCAGAGTTTGAACTGCTCCTTGAATTCTATGAAGGGAAGGAGGGGAGAAAAGAGGCTAGGTGTATAGGCATGTGCACGGGCCTGTGTGCACACTTCGTGTACGTATGCTCACGTGGAGGACAGCGCAGCCTCAGCTGTCAGGCTTCACCTTCTACCTTGTCTGAGACATTCGTTGCCATGCACCCCAATGTGGCCCACAGCCCTCTTGTCTCCACCTCCCTGTAGGAGTGTGGGATTAGAGGCATGCTGTCCTCCCTATCTAGGGATCCAAATGCACGCCCTTCTGCTTGCCCTGCAATTGCTTCACCTACTGAACCCTGACCCATCTTCTCTTTTCATTTTCATTTTATTTTATTTTTTGGTAGCTAGGGGTGGAAGCCCAGGGCTTCTGAGCTACAGTTCTACGCTAGCCCTAGTTTTAGGTTATTTTCTGCAGAAGGCAAGGCAACTCACCAGGGGAGTCTGTATTTTTGATTACACTGGTCTTGTCTTTCTGAGCTTCTTCCTGTATTAGGGAGGAGGCAGGAGTGACCAGGGCGCAGACCAGACCTGGACTTCCTGCTTACCTTACTTCCGGGTCTCCACCCAATTGAAGATTTACCTACCACATTGGGGTAAGGGAAGTCGAACCGGACAAAGGTATCCAGGTCACCAGGGGACAGCCCTGCAGGTAGACAAGGGTCAGACCTAGGCAGAGAGACCAGCCCGCCTCTGCTTCTGGGTTATGCCCTCACCTGTGGGTGTGGGCAAGTTGATGCCCTTCACGATAAACAGGAGCATGTCACTGTTGCTCAAGTCCGGAAAGATCCTTTCAGTGGGCAGGGAAACAGAAGTAGGCACCTCAGCCCCAGCCTGCAGCTCTCATTTCCCTCCGTGGAGCAGGGAATCCTCCAGACTGTAGGGTGCTACTCCTGGCTTCAGTGAGGCACTCCCCTGCCCGACTACTGGGCTCACTGTTCAGTGCTCACATTTATTTGGTACCTACTTCTATTTGTTTTTGTATTTATTGTGTGTACATACATGCACAAGTCCCTTTACCGGCTGGCCCACCTCACTGGTCCTTATTTGCCAGTTTTCTCTGAGCACCTACTATGTACCTAGAAACATCTTAGCTGTGCTCTTTATTCTATATTCCTATTAGGCGCTAGCGAACACTCTAGCTGTTGGAGGATCCTTTTCTTTTGAGGTAAAGTCCCATGTAGCACAGGCTGGCCTCAAACTCACCATGAAGCCAAGGATGACTGAATTTCTGATCCTCCTGCCTCCACCTCCTCCAGGCTGGGATCACAAGCTTGTACATCTGGTTTATTAGGTCCTGGATCCCAGGGTCTCATGTATACTGGGCATGAAATCTACTGACTGAGCTACACCCCCAGAAGCTTCTTTTCATTTAATAATTACTTTCTGAGTATCTACCAAGTGTCAGCATGGGTGCTAGCCAACATAGTACCTCATGCCCACCTTTGGCTATCTGCTCTCCCACCATCAATTTACTCTTGACCAAATCCCTCAGCAGCTTCCAGAAGTACACATCCCTCCCCAGAAACACCCCAGGCAAGGGGGCTTCAGGCCTACTTGATAACACTGAAGGTCCTCTGCTCAAAGCGGGCTGAAGGGGTGGACAGACTGCGGGCAAAGGCCTGCTTTAAGGTGTCCATGCTCCGCTTACAATCTTCTGCCAGTTTCTCGAACCTGCAGGAGATGGAATTGCTCAGGACCCTGGCCAGCTGGCCTGCCAGTGCAGGTACTGGCAAGGCAGGCACTTACTTAATAGTTTCAGCCATGTTGCCCAAGTGGGTGAACTGTGTGGAGTGATTCAGACACATCTGCAGGGCAAAGAAGTGAGAATGGGTGGGAGGCCAGGAGAAACAGTACCAGGGGATGGGGACAGGATCACTGGTGGGGCCTTACTTCATGTTGCTGTCTCAGGAGTTTGGTAAGCTCCCCATAGCGTCGCACAGCCTCCTGAGACAGGCCTGGGCCAGGCCGCTGCACCAGTACAAAATCGTCCTTGTTGACAGGGGCAGGCGGCACCTGTGGAGGATGAGGCTGGGAGGCAAGGGCCTACTGGCCCACTAGGAGCAGCTGTGCTTTGTCATCTTCCCTGGCCATTACTCACTATCCTGTGTGGGGTCTCCCCTCAGCTCCCACACTGTCTGATATAACAAAGCCATCCTTTGGGCATCTAAGCTGCTGGCTGCGCAGTCCTGTGATGTGCACGTGCAGGCCCTGCTTTGCAGCTGGAGACTGGGGGTGCAGCAGGAAACAGACACAGCCAAGCACTGTGGCACACAATGCTGATCTCAGCATGTAAGAGACTGATAGGAAAATTGAAAGTCTGAGGACAGCATGAGACACAGTGAGTGCAAGGCTTGCCTGTGTACAGAGGCCTCATCTGGAAAAAAATAGATAACAACCAAAAACCTAAGAAGAGAGAGGGAGGCCAAAAAGTACCATGGAGGAGCATTCTGGGCGAGAAGAGCATGTACAAAGACCCTGTGGCTAGACAGAGTGAGGGAGGTAGATCAAGCAAGACCATGAGCCACAGTAAAGCTTTGGATTTACCTGTGTCACTGTGGTTCCCCTAGCTACGACGTGTGAACCATAAGGGTAGGGATATTTGTCCATTTTGCTCAACATTATATTCCCAGGACCCAGTGTGTATTCCAGATTTTCTGTCATGGAGGCTGCCATCTATCATGCAAGGGATCCTGGGCTCCTGTCTAATACCTTTTTTTTGGAGGGGGGTTTAAGACAAGGTTTCTCTGTGAGGCTTTGGCTGTCTTGGACTCGATTTGTAGAGCAGACTGACCTCATAGAGCTCTGTCTGATTTAAAGGCCTGCACCACCACACGCTGTATCCTACATGATTTTGAGGTGGGAATGACTTCAGGTCTTCAAAGCCAAAAATGATGCTCTGAGGGAACAATCCTACCCAAAGGGCAGAATCCGTTAACTGTCCCCAGAGATTAGTCTCTTCTCTAGTAATGGCATGCACAGCATTGTATGAAAAGAAACTGCGAGCCCCAGAACCCTTTGCAGCTAGGTATGGCCATATGGCTAGCTTTGGCTAATGGAAGACAAGCAAAAGGACAGGTTCTGAAGGCAGCAGGGGTACAGAGGAATAGAGAGGGGACAGGGCATTCCCAGTGTCTACAATGACTCCTTTAAGCCACTGTGTCCTTTTTGCTCCACCCTTTCCATAGGCATGAGGCAATGGGTCAGAGATCCATTTGGATCATGTGGACCAAGACAAGACCCTAGGAAGATGAAAAGCAAAAACCTGGAAGGAGCCTAGGCCCCACAGGCATCCTGTTGTAGAGTCCAGTCTGTTCTAAGTGACATGCAAGAAATAACTGTCTCCTTTCAACTGCTGTCTTCCAAGAGCCTATTTGTCACAGCAGCTTAGTTTAAATGATGACTAATATATTGTAGGTCACATGGCTGCTAGGGAGCCCACAGGCAGTATGCATGAATATAGAGGCCTCACCTTGGCAATGTCCACAGGCAGGCCATTACGAGAGGCCTCTAGCATGGGCTCTAGCCCTTTGGCTTGGCGCAGATGCATCTTGGCGCCCTCTACATCATTCTTTTGCTTGGCGCGCAGCGCAGCCTGCAGGAGCTGCTTCTTTCGGCCCTCCAGGAAGGCCAGCTGCTGTTGGGCTGAACGTAGGGAGGCCTCAGTGGGGGCTGCCCAGCCCATTGCTGTCAGGTGGGCCTGGGTAGCCAGGGCAGGTGGGGTACTTACCCCTGGTGGATGTGCCCTTGGGTGCGGTTTTGCCTGCTGGGGCTGGGCCTGACAAAGGTGCCTTGGAGGGTGAGGACTTCAGCTGGGTTGTGGAGGCAGCAGTCGTGTTTTGCTATAAAGGAATACAGAGAGGTTAGGGTGTTTTCAAAGTTTGTAGTTACTCACGCCTAGGCGTCAGAACCCAAAACCAAGAACCTATCTCTGTGTCCTTAACAGGGTCTCATGTGGTCCAGGCTGGCCTCAAACTCGTTATGTAGCTGAAGCTGACTTTGAACTCCTGATCCTCCTGCCTCAGCCTCTCCAGGGCTGAGATCACAGGCATGAGCCACTATGCCTGGGGCGTCCACAGCACTGAGCACAGCCTTGGTCCTGTCTCCACCTACCCTCTGCAACAGCTCCGCACAGGGAGGCTAGTTTGTGCCCATTCTGTAAATGAAAGGGCTAAGGCCCAGGGAGCAAAGAGGCTTGCCAAGAGCCCTGCAGCCAAGAAGTGGCAGGCCTGTGGTATGAGGCTGGCTCACTCCTACTTAAGTCAGGCCTCCCAGGACTTTGTCCTGTCGTCACCCCATACCTCAGCCCTGAGCCCTCGTACCTTCTTAGGAGCCTCATCCTGCTCCTCATCAGAGCCTTCATCATGGTTGGCAAGCTTCATGGCAGTTTCCAGGACCCCCGCCAGGCTCTGCTGGGGGGGCTCTGCAGTCTCCAAGCCCTGAATCGGGGGGAAGCCTGGGCGGCAGAGTGGCCTGGTCAGGGCCCCACTGTTGAAGGCCATCGACCCCACCTCCCACTGAGGAATTCCAAGCCTTTCTTCCTGTTGGTTTTCTGAAACAGCCTCACTGTGTAGCTCAGGGTGGCTTTGAGCTTGTAGTCCTTCTGCCTCAGCCTCTCAAGCTCTGGGATAACAGGTGTGCCATGCCACACCTCTGCACACCAGAGATGGAACCTGGGGCTTTATGTACGATAGGTAAGTGCTCTACCACTGCTCTGTACCCTCCAACCCGCCCTCAGGCTGACCTGCACCCTCCAGTTTCCTCATAAACCTGTAGGCAGCTGAGAACTTAGAGGTTTCTACTCTACTGAGGACTTGGCAGGAGTGAATGGAATGAAGCAGAGAGGGAGGGAGACCGCTGAAAGACAGAACTAGCCCCAAAACAACCTGGTTTCGAGAGCGTCCTGGTTTCCCTGATGTAAACACTTCTGTCATGACACACTTCACCCTGGTTAAGAGGCTTGCACAGCTCCTGAGTGCACAGCCACAGCTGTGTGAGGCAACTCTTAAGCAAGAACAGACCAGCAAAGGCCCAGAGGAAGGAGGAGTGAGATGGGGGACTTACTCTGGGAGAGACCTTCCCTGGGGAAACATACTTGGGGTGGGGCCTATCTGGAGGCGGAGCCTACCTGGGGGCACTGGCAGCTCAGCCACATCCACAGCTCGGCCTGCTTTGTGGGCTCGAATGGCATCCTGGTATTGCTGCAGGGCACAGAAGTGTTAGGGGGCCAAGAGAGGTCCTGAGAGTGTTCATCTGGCCCCCTACACACCTTGACAATGCGCTCATGCATGCGTGCCTTCCGCTGGTCACCCTTGGCCTTGGCCTGGGCTGCAGCTACATGGTACCGCTCCATTCGCTGCTCCAGTGCCTCCAGGAGGCTCCTCGGGGGCTGGGGAACCTCTGGGCCAGAATTGGTGGGCAGCAGGTTAAGGGTCGAGGGAAATGAGGCAATGGCCCAGTCTGCCCACCTCAAAGGATCTTAGCAGCCTACCTGGCCTGGTGGGTGCTGAGGCAGGAGCCAAAGGTTGGGCTGCTGGCAAGGGGGATTCTGGGGACAGTTGGTCTGGAGACAGAGAGGCCCAGTCCAGTGAGGGGCTTGCTTGGTGATCTTGGGCAGCACCAAAGTGAACAGTAGGAGTAGGAAGGGACATGGGATAGGGTCCTCACCAGGTGGAGGGGGCAGGCGGGACAGGTCCACTAGTTCTCCACGGCTCAGGGCCTCCAAGACAGGATCGAAACTCTAAGAGAAAAAATGAGATGGGCAGGGAAGGGCTACCAGGACCTCAGGGGGTGTTTCATACCATGCCCAGTGCCAGAGGGGTCCCCCATGCCTGGGGCCACCTAACCCATGCTCTACCAATACTGAGCTATTGATACAGGCAGATAGCAGAGGAGGTTCTAACGGTAACAGCTGACCCCTAGAGAGGAGCTAGGGTGGAAAGCCTGCACCCTGCCTCTGGCTCCTTCCATCGGTAGGCCCTGTCTGTGGGCCAAAACCTACCTTGGCTACTCTTAAGTGTCTGGTAGCTGCAGCGGTGTCACCCTGATGCTTAGCATGGAGGGCAGCCACTTTATATTCCCGCTGGAGGCTCTGCAACTGGGCTAAGGGGCTGCAGGGACCTAGAAAGAAGAGTAACACAGGAGCCTCGGCCAAACCCAACTCACAGACTGTCTATTTGATTCTCACAACCAAGTTTTGAGCCCATTTTATGGGTGGAAACCCAAGGCTCAAGGGCATGCCCACTATAAGATCACTCAGCTTTAAAGTGACATGAGCGTCACTCAACCCTAGGCCTAGAGTTTCCCCCTCACCCTCTCCCCCAGAATTCTTGAAAGCCTGACCGAGATTTATACCCTTTTAATCTGTCAGTTTGCATCTTAAATTTAAAAAGTAGACAAAGTTGCCACTCAAAGTACCTTACAACGTGAGCATTACAAAGAGATGATTTTAAGTTTTCTCCTTTGTGGTATCTGGGGTGCTTGGGGGCTGAGGGTGGATCAGAGGGCCACACACATGCTAGGCAACTGCACAACCAGCAATTCTACCTCTGGCTTCAACAACAGTCTTTCTGACCAGAACAAGCAGCAGGCAAAGGCACCCTGCTACCACCTGGTGGCCTGAGTTTGGTTTTCAGGGCCCACAAAGCAGAAGGTAAGAACCAACTCCCTGGGTTACCCTCTAACCCTTGCGTACATTCCACGGCACATACAGCTCCCCACACCCAATTTTAAAACGCATCACATGCATGCCTGGTGCCCTTAGGGGCCAGAGAGGGTATCAGTTCCTTTGAAACTAGAATTATAGATAGTGGTAAGCCACCATGTGGTTGTTGGGAACTATGCTTGGGTCCTCAAGAACAGTAAATGTTCTTAACTGCTGAGCCATCTCTCCAGCCCCAATATTTGCTGCTTATTTTTAAACCCCCTAAAGAGATTTATCTGTCTACTTTTATGTGTGTGAGTGATTTGCCTGCATATAAGTTTGTACACCAGGAGTATATGCCTGGTGTCTCAGGAGGCTACGAGAGACTGTCCACAGGCCTGGAGTTGCAGACGGTTTGAACCTGATCTGAGTGCTAGAAATCAAACTTGGGTTCCCTGAAAGAGCAGCCAGTGCTCCTGACTGCTGAGCCAGCACTCTAGGCTCCCTTCTACTTTTTTTTTCTTTTTCTTTTTGAGACATATTGGCCTAGGCTCACTATATAAATGGCTGGCTTTGAAACTCAAAGTTGATCTGCCTTCCAAGTACTGGGATTAAAGGCCTTTGATGTGGCTGGCTCACTGTAACCAGTTTTGTGTATGTGTTGTTAAATGTGTGGATGAGTGTACCTGTAGAGGCCAGAGGCCAACATCAAGTGTCTTTTTTCAGACAGTCTCTCATTGAACTAGGAGTGCAATTATACAGCACCATGGCCAGCTTTTTACCTATGTGCTGAGATCTGAATTCATAGCCTCATGCTTACTTAGCAGGAACCTTCCTGTTGAGCCATCTCCTATCTATTAACCACTTTTTGTTGTTTTTGTTTCTGAGACAAGGTTTCTCTGTATAGCTCTGACTGACCTGGAACTCACTATGTAGACCAGGCTGGCCTTGAACTCAGAGTTCTCCAGCCTGGGAGAACTAATCCCAAGTGCTGGGATTAAGGCAGTGTGCCACTACTTCCAGATCTATTAACCATTTTTAAGTGTATAGTTAGGGGCATTGCATACATCCACAAAGTGGTAGAGCTATCCTCATCATCTCTATAACTGATTTCCCCAAACTACACGCCACTTCTATTTAACACTCCCTCCTGTCTTCTCTCCAGCATTACATCTGCCATTTCACTTCCTATCCTAATGGACTTGACAGCCCTGGGAACCGTCTATGAGTGGAATTAGTGTGCCTGTCCTCTATGGCTTCTTCACGTAACATTATGTCCTCATGAATAAAAAAACAAAAACAAAAAAGTTCAGGCAATAGTGGCACACACCTTTAATCCCAGCACTCAGGAGGCAGAGGCAGCCTGGTCTACAGAGCGTGTTCCAGACAAGCGCGTTCCAGACAAGCGTGTTCCAGACAAGCAGGGCTACACAGAGAAAATTTGGCCCTCCCCAAAACAAAAACCAACCAACCAAAAAAACATCATGTGCTCATGGTTCTTCCACGTTAGAGCATATGCTAAAAAGAAATTCATTCTTTTTATGGTTAAATAATATTCCATTATATGCACAACCATACTTTAAGCTCTCTAAAGAGCCCACAGAGATCCTATGTGGGCCCTACCCACCACTTACCTGAGGGCAGCTGGGGCTTGGTAGAGGTTTGAGCCATGGTAGATGGAGCCTCCAAGGTGGCACTGGACTCTGGGGCTGGCATATTTACAGGAGCCAGGTGGGGAGTAGCATGGGCATTGCTGTGCCCAGCTGGTCCCTTCCCTGAGGCCACAGGCGGTGGGATGTCTGCCTCATTGATAATGTTGCCCTTCCTGGCGGATACCAGCAGGTTTTCCAGTGTCTGAAACAGGATGTGATGTGAGTCTGAGCTCAAGTGGTAGCCTGGTGCTCCTGGGGTTCAGGTAGGGTCCCAGCACCCTGCCCTTGTCCTGCTCACCTTGAGCCCCCTGTCATAGCGTCGCATCTTGGCACTGTCCCCAGCTTCCCTGGCACTCTCCACTGCAGACTGGTAGAGGGCTAGCCTCTCCTGCAGTGTGGCCTCTACTCCTTGGTTGGAGCCTGAAGGCTTCAGATATAGAGGGTTGGGGGTACAAACTGGATGTTGACCCCACTTAGGCCACCCTGGCCAACCCCTGAGAGCATGAACACATTATGTCCCCTGGACCAATCTTTCCTGCCCCCAATGATGAAGACATCACAGTCCAGAGTTCAGAAGTAGCATATCACCTGTGCCAAAGGTTATAGGTGGATAAGGGAAGGGTGAGCCTTGAATCTCAGGACTTATGGGAGGTATACCTGGGCCACAGGCATCGGGGGCTCCACAGTCTTCTGTTCTTCTCCAAGGACCTCATTTAGCTCTGCCTGCAGGGATACATGGCCAGGGTAGGAAGCAGAGGCTGCTGGGCAGGCGAGGGGATGATATACTGCTGCCTAGCCTGGCCCAGTGCTCACCAGCAGGTCCTCATCGGCCTCCACATCTTCCTCATCAGTCCCCTCCTCATCCTCATCCAGGTCTCTCATACAGAGCCGGGCCATCTTCTCAATGGCCTCCATTGGGAGGGGACCTGGTGACAGGAAGACCCCCCCAGCTAGGACAGGATTCTCCCAGGGCCCTCCTTGCCCCTCCCTACACTCATAGCCCCACAGAACAGCACAACAAGCAACTGAACAACAGATCCCTTTTCCCGAGCGCTGTGACAGCCTGCTGTCCCAGAGCCCTTTAGTCAGGTGCCCTCTACCACCCACCATCTGTCAACCCAACCTCTAAGCACTCATTTCTTCCCTGTCTAGTCTCAGCGATGACACCAGGCACCCGGAGTTCAAAGCTCAGCTCTGCAATGTTCTCTCTGTGTGACCATGAGCAAGTTACTTCCTCCCCCTGGCTTCAGCACACGTATAACTTATCAGTTCCTCTCAGGTAGACTGTGGGCACTAAAACGGGGAACTAAATTCTTGGAGCGATAAAGCATAGAGCTGCCCCGGCCTCATCCACAGATGACAGCACCTTCCTCCCCAGGCTTATGCCCTGGCATCTTCTTGTATCTCCACTCTTGTGCTCATGGCTATAACCAAGTAAAATGAAGTCTACTACTGTAAAGCCTCATGACATAAGCTGGACAGCCACAGGATAACTACAGGACTCCTATATGGCAATGCAGCATGGACACTCGGGAAGGGTGACTCATCCTAGAGAGGATGGTTGAGATGTTATCCCGGCACTCACAATATCATGCAATTTGGAATTCCACCATTTAATTACCTCCACACTGGATGTGGGTAGGTGAAAACACGGCAAACAAAACCGTGAATCAAATGGGGGGCTGTGTCAGTGGCATTTTTGTTGATGTGGTGCTATGTTTTAGGAGACAGTGTTCTGTAAAGTTCTATAAGAGCTGAATTGTCAAATACTGGGAAATACAAGTAAGGTTGTATAGTAATTACACACTTAGTGTATGTGTGTGCGAGCATGCGCACGTTTGTGTGCTACAGCACGTGTGCAGAGGTCAGAGGACAACTTTCAAGGGTCAGTTCTCTCCATCTACCATGTGGGCCCCATGGACTGAACCTCAGGAATCAAACATAGGGTTTTCAAACTCCGGGCAAGTGTCTTTACCCACTGAGCCATTTTGCTGGCCCTCTGGTCATGGTTTTACTAATGACCTATGACCCTGACTCCTGTGTGCTTCCGTCTAAACACTTGCTGCATGTTGACTAGTGCACAATGAGCTGGTGACCAAAGGCTTGTGGCGCCCACCTAAACGCAGCTACCTAACACACATGTTACATTCCAGAGGCCCAGATTTGCCATCGATGCTTTGAAACAGCAAGCAGTGCTTTGCTCAGGGCCACTGTGAACAGCGAAACCACCCACATACACACCCGAGGGGCTGGGAAGATGATGGGGGAGGGCAAACTGTTCTTGCAGAGGACCTGAGTTTGCACCCACATGGGGTGGCTCGCAACTACTTGTAACTTGAGCTCTGGGGACTCTGACACCTCTGCTGGCTTCCGTGTGTGCCGGGACACATGTGGCATGTAGACATGTGCACAAAATACACATTATAAAAAAAAGAAACAAAGAAAAATGTGGGAGGAAACAGATTGGAAAAGGCTCAGCTGCACCCAGAGCTGACCCTGACTCTGTCACCCCAACCCTAGACTCCAGGAAGGTGGGAGTCTCCTGTTTTCCCGCTCTACATCCAACCCAGTGCTCAGCTGCAAGTCCTGCCCACAGTGGAAGCTCCAAAGATGGTCCAGAGTGTGCTGAGCACCACTCTCACCTTTGCCTCTGAGTTTCTCCAGGGCCTGAGGCTGGCCCCCCACCAAAGCCAAGAACTCGGCTTCCAGTTCCTCATCATTTGCCCCGTCCTCAGGGATCATCAGGCCATCTGGGGAGAAGTCAACCAGCAGACCAAGCTGTGGGAACAAACACGGTCCCATTGGACCTTCCAGATTCCACTCAGGCCCCGATGGCCAGGATGGATCCAGAGAGTCCACATGCAAGGTTGGAAGCAAATCTCTAAGTGTAAACAGTTTGGGGGGGGGGGGGATACCAGGAGACTGAGAAAGACATCATGAGACAATATCTTGGCACTTTGACCGAGTGCATGGCTCAGAAGCAGAACCTGCCTAGAATGCAACCAGTGTGGGGCCTGAAGAGGCACACATCAGTAAAGTGCTAACCCTAACCACAGTATGTGCAAACCCCTGGGCTCCATCCCAAACATGGCAAGGAAAACAATTTAAAAATGAAAGGCCTGACATGCTGAAACTGTGTCTTTTCTGAAGACCTGCCCTCCTGTTTTGGCTAATGAGCAACAGAACATGGTATGTCACATGAAATTACCCTTTCTGGAGGTCCAAACTGGTCAAATACTAGCAATTATGCATGGCTCCACCTACTGGGAATAATAATTTAGCACTATGTTCTAGCATTTTCCATAAATAATCTCAATAAGTCTTTAGAACTGTCCATCGATTTAAAAGACTCTTCCAGACCTCCATTCCACAGGTGGGAAAACTGAGGCTCAGAGCTACAAATACATCTGTCAAATGTACCAAAGCCAGGAGGAAACCTGTGGTTAGATAGACTCACACTTGAGCACTGGACCAGGCCTGGGATACCTGGTTCAAAGCTGGGAAAAATCAAACTCCCACAGGTTCTGGATCTGGGAATATGGCACTGGGCTACAGGCCTGTGGGTTTTCCTGTGGACTGACATTTCTGTCTGGCCAGGCTGTTCATCCTTATGACCTTGGTTAGATGTTTTCGTCTCCCTGATACTTAGTGTCCTCATCTGTACAATGGGAGTAAAGAGTGTGGCCTGATCCAGTTGATGGAAAGGCTTGAAAAGCCGGTCTGATTGCTTCCCCTTCCTCGCTGGAACTGCTGCAGCAACAGGTGTTCCCCGAAACCAGGGTAGGAAGCCAGAAGCTAGATGACCCAAGCCAGTAGGCCATACAGTCGGGAGCGCGCCTCACCTCGGTGGGGCGGGGACCAGGGTTCACCTGGTGGCGAGGAGATCGCTTTTCGGGGGGGGGGGGGGGGGGGGCGCCCCGGGGGGGGGGGGGGGGGGGGGGGGGGGGGGGGGGGGGGGGGGGGGGGGACTCGCCGCGAGTGAGAGGATGGGTGGGGAGAGACTCTGAGGACGGGTGGGAAGGGACCCCTCGGTGGGCAGCGAGGGCACACACTCACCTGGCGGGCGGTGACAGCGCCTCGGCCCGGGGGTGCAGGGGGTCCATTCCTCTTGTGCATCTTCCAGGCTAGAAGCCCGGACTACCGGCCCCGGCACCCTGGACTTGCCCTGCCTCTTCCCCGAAGCCGAATCTTCGAGCGCGCGCTGTTCCTAAGCCCCGAGTCCTTCCTCCTCGCCCGGCCCCCGAGATTCTCCAGTTTTGGCCGCCCTGCTTCCGCCTTGGCCTTCGGGAGCGCGGCCACTGGATTCGTGGGATCTCTAACTAAACTACAATTCCCGGCAGCCAGTGCGCAAACGCGCATGCGCCTGACGTGAGGTGCGGCAGAGAGGAGGTGGAGCATGCGTAAGGTGCGGTGCCGGTGCTGCGCGTGCGTGGGGCGGGAAAGAGGCGGAGTGCTGCAGGTGTGAAGGTGCGGCGGCGTGAGATTCTGAGGGTCTTAGCTTCTCTCCGGTGCAGCCTGTTCTGTCTGGCTTTGTGGGTGTGAGTGTCCCTGCCGGCAGTCACTGAGGGGGCAGGTCGCCGGGAGCCGGGTTCTTGGTGCCAGGCCTCAGGCCTTTGTGTCCCCCAGCACCTCTTTGCCTCGCGGTCCTCGTGACTACCGATGTGAGTGAGCATTTACCCAAAATGTCAAACAAATGATTTAGGCGACTTATTCCCCATCAGGTCCAATCTGACCTCGTCCTTACTAAGGACAGAGCGACTTCCATCACTGCTGTGGCCCAGGTTGGTTCTGGCTTGCCTTAGGTCCCACAGCCTGAAGACACTTTGCCCTCCTAAGGCCTTGACTTTGGTGGGTCTCCAGTGGCTTCTCAAAAGCTTCCAAGTAGCCCACAACCCAGATTAATGAAGTTTTGGGTCGGGATGGGGGTAAAACAGTTGTCTCCAACCCAGAGACTAGAGCAGAGATCCTGAGGAGGACAAAAGACAGTTCCTTCACACAGGGGAAGGTGCGAATTTCTACTTGGCCATGGTCCAGGATTGCTATCGGTCTGGCATCCCACCCAGTGTCCTGAAGTCCAGCTGACTCCCCTCATCAGGTTGCCAAATGAGCTCTGGAGGAAGTAAAGGACTGGCTACACATGGGAACATACAGTGGAGTTTCTTTGTTACTTTCAGATTTCTCAGGGATAAAATGAATAAGAAGAAGCAGCTGCGGAACTCAGGTACTTGGTTTATTCAATTTGTTTTTGTTTTATTTATTATTAATGAATTAATTTTAATTAATTTTGTTTTTTTCAGGCAGGGTTTCTCTGTAGCTGTCGATCAGGCTGGCCTTGGCCTCATAGAGTTCTGCTTGCCTCTGCTTTCCAAGTGCTGGGAGTAAAGGCATGAGCCATGACTGCTCAGCCTCACACTGGCTTTTTATTATTTATTTATTTATTTATTTATTTATTTGAGGTACCGGCCATGGATGCAGGGCCTCCTGAAATGATAAAACGCTCTACTACGAAACTACATCTCTTCCGCAAGTTGACCTTTTTATTCTTGTTTTTGATGTGTGCTTTTGAGATGAAGGAAGAGATTCTTGCTATGTGTGCTGACTAGTTTTATGTCAGTTTGATACAAGCTAGAGTCATTTGGGAAAGGGGACTCACTCCTCTGTTCCTCTCCCTGGATTTGAGTGAGTTTAGGGAGACCAGGATCTGTTTCCTTTCCCCCTTCCATGAGAGGCCACTATTCCCCACACTGGCTGGTTTAGCAAAGTTGCAGTAGGACCTTGATGCCTAAATGGTTGGAACATGAGGATTCTGAGAGGATGTGCCCTTCCTTGTGTTTTCTATTATAGTTAACAGTCGGCTGCACACTTCAAAAAGAAAAAAAAAAAAAGTAAATGAGTTTACCACAAATAAATGCCATACCATTTATGATAGAATATAAAATATTAACATTTTTTTAAGCCAAAATAAAATAAAACTTACTTTTTAGGGATCGAGGGACTGCTCAGTTGATAAAATGCTTGCCTTGAAAACACAAAGGACATGCATTTAGTCCTCACAGCCCTAGTAAAAGCTAGGTGTATGACACGCGTTTGGAATCCCAGTATTGGGGTGGAGGAGCAGAGACAGCTTAAAGCCTCAAATGAGAGACCCTGTCTCTAAAAACAACTGGACTGAACATGTCTTAGTTATTGTTCTATTGCTGTGAGGAGACACCATGACCAAAACAACTTAGAAAGCATTTAATTGAGGAGCTTGCTTACAGTTTCAAAGGGTGAGTCCATGACCATCATGGCAAGGAGTGCAGTAGCAGGCAGACATTGCATTAGAGCAGTAGCTGAGAGCTTACATCTTAACCACAGGTAGCAGGTGCAAGGGAGATGGCAGGGAGGAAGGGAGGAGAGAAAGAGACTGAGACCAGGCCTGGTGTGGGCTTTTAAAACCTCCAATAAGGTCACACCTCCTAATCCTTCTCAAAACTCTGTCAACTAAGGACCAAGCACTCAAATACATGAGCCTATGGCAGCCATTCTCCTTCAAACCACCACAAGCACTTGAGAAGGCCTCTGCCCTTCGCACTTGTACACCACCCTCAAACATTTTGTTCACACATTATTTTAAAACTTAACATTGTTTTCTTCTTAGGCTGGCAAGATGACTCAGTAAAAGTGCTTGCCTCTAAGCCAGTCTACCTGTGTTTGATCCCAGACCCACATGGTCAAAGGACAGAACTGCCTGCTACACATGGGTCCCTGATATATAAATAAATGAATGTAATAAATTTTTTAAAAAAAAATTGAGACAAGGTTTCTTTGTATAGCCCTGGCTGGCCACTCTGTAGAGGAGGCTGGCCCTGAACTCACAGAGATCCTCTTGTCTCTGCCTCCCGAGTGCTGGGAATAAAGGCATGTGCCACCACCGCTCAGCATGAAATAAAATTATTACATTTATTTAAAAGTTAAGTTTTTTCTTTTTGAAGTACTGGGAATGAACCTAGGCCTGGGACATGCTAGTCAAGCATGCCACTTTTGGAATCTTGGTTCTTGTTTGGCTGGGAGGGGAGTCTAGCTAGCTCCTTAGGGGATAGTCAGCAATGGTTGTAAACATTTTTAATTTTCATTCAGAGAGGAGGGGCAGAATATGAAGGAAGATGCTTCCAGCACCTAGGAGGTGGCAGCCAGGGCTGCTGTTCCAAATTTATAGTTCCCAGGACAGCCCTCATAACACAGTGTCTCAGCCCCAGTGTTCCCATGGGAATAGCTGTGCACCATGACTGCTCTGTCCTGTCCAGCAAACTGACCTATTTGCAGTGCTGGGCTGAACAAGGTGTTGCAGCCATGGCTCAGAAGCAGAATACTCAAGCACCTTGTCCTTTTAGAGTTAAAAAGCTGTTATGCCAGTTGTGTCTCATGCCTGTAATGCCAGCACTTTGGAGTATGAAGCAGTTTGAGGCCAGCCTGGATCACATAGTTGAAACAAACAAACAAAAAAACCACCAGAGTTTTCACTATAAAATAATTTGGGGCCTTACTGATAAGTCTCAGAAATAGTTTGAGGAATTCTATCTTTTCTTCCCTAGCTTCCCCTAGCACTAAAATCTAACAGAATGAAAGGACAGTGGTCAAATTATTAAGAACAGGAAGCCAACCTCATATTACTACTTTCATACTCTTCTGTGTACAGTTGGACTCATTCAGGACTCCCACTCCTATCAGAATCCTAAATGCCCGGCAGACTCAATCCCTAGATGACTAAGAATGCTGAGCAGGGTGTGAATGATATATAAATGGTTAAATTGTATTGCTTGGGGAGGTGGCTAGGAAATGTCTCTACATGGTGAGTATAGATGCAGTTTTTCTCCATCCATGATAGGTTAAACCTGTATTTGGGGAACCTATAACCACAGAAAACTGTACACTCAAAGTAATGAGGTCTCTCTCTGTCTCTCTGTGTGTTATATGTGGATGTGTTAGTGGGTATGTGCAGGTGCATGTGCATGTGAAGGCCAGATAGCAGCATCAGGTGTCTTTCCTAATGCTCTCCACTTTATTTTTGAGACAGGGTCTTTCACTGAACCTGAAGCTTATCAATTCAGTAAGGTTATTTTCCTCCTACCTCTGAGCACTGGGGTTATAATTAGATATGTGGTTGGCTTGGCTTTTACTTGGGTACTAGGGATCCAAACTTAAGTCCTGATGTTTGTATGACAGCCACTTACTGACCACCGGCTCCCTTGCCCCTGTGTTTTCACTGAATACGACCACCTTACAGCACACATGCTAACTTACCAATTCTGGGTTTGTTTCTTTTGTTTTTAGATACAGGGTTTCTCTGTATAGCCCTGACTGTCCTGGAACTCTCTCTGTAGACCAGCTGGCCTAAAAGCTCACAGAGATGCACCTGTCTTTAATCCACCTTCTGGAATTAAAGACGTGCACAACCACCACCTGGCTCTAATTCTGCTTTTAGTTCCCAGTACATCACAATGGGCTCTTCTTGTCAATAGACAATGTAAAATTTCTTCACTTGAGAACCCAGGAGTGTAGCTGAGTGGTGGATCATTTGTCTGGTATGTGTAAGTAAGGCTCTGGCATCAAATAAGAAAAAATACTTTATCTTCACTTGAAAATAATTGTAATAATAACAATAAACTTAGCTGGTAGAACCACATAGTCCTGGAGCTGTAATCCCAGTGCTAGGATGGTGGAGGCAGAAAGATCAGAAGTTTGAGATCATCCTAGGTTACATAGTGAGTTTACAGCCAGCTTATCTGTGTAAGTCCCTGTCATCATTGAGAAAGAAAATAAAATTGCCCAATTAAAAAAACAGAACAAAACAAAACTTTAGAGAGTACACATGCCAAAAAGAAGATAATGAATTCTCTGGAGTGGAATCCCAGGCAGCTGACATAGGTCCTGGGAATCTAACCCATTAGCCCCTCCCTCAGTGCTTTTTGTGGGTTGGCTGGTTTGTCTGTTTTATAGTGTTTCTGCCTCAGATTTCAGTGACCACATGGCTTTAAAACAGCAGTGTTTCATGAGGTATTGCCGCCTCCCTGTTAATACAGTATCTGGAACTTAGAAGCATTGTCTTTCCTGGGGGAAGGCTGACCTATTTGTTTATTTCTGAAATAAGGTCTTACTGAGTAGCGTATTAATATGTAGACCAGGCTGACCTCACCTGGCCAGTAAGGAGGAATTTAAAGGGTGGTACACATTTTTCCCTCGGAGTGAAACAAAAATGACCAACAGTTCATCCCTGTTATATGTAGAGTGTCCAAGCCACTTAAAGGTACAGGGATTTCTCTGACCTTCGAGGAGTAAACTGAGGACAGCTGGGTCCACCCATGATGGCAGGTCACCTCTCTTGGCCTTGGACTGCAAAGCCCTATGGAACTAGGAAGAAGGTTCTGGCAAGCGATGAAAATAGGCCCTTTACTTCCTGTATCTCCAGTTTCTGGTGTGGAACATGAGGTTCTGCCTTATTTGATTTGAATTAGTCCTGTGGGGACTGATCATAGGAAGTACTGTTCATGGTGTTGATATTTTTGCCTTTTATTTTGGTAAAAATGTCCACTGAGTCAGCCAAGCAAGCTGGTGTTTGGGATCAATCTCAGGCAACCAACCAAACAAAGCAATTTATTTATTTTTGCCTTTTGTGGCAAACTGAGAGACAGACATGTAAGAAACATTCCCCAGAACTTCCTGAGCCCACCGTGCTGGCTGGAGCAGGCACCTGAGGGAACAGGGCCTGGACAGTGTTGTGAGCAGAGAATGGAAGACACCCAGTAGTACTGGGCACCTGCAGGGTCTTAGTGAGGTCAGTGTGTGCCATGGAGACTGCTCGGCAGATGCACAGCAACAAAGCAGCAGAAAAGGAAAGTACTGGAGGGCTGGGCCATGGCTTAATAATAGAATCCTCTCCTGACATGACCAAGGCCTTTAGTTTCATCCTAGCCCTGTTGTATGTTTGTGTTCATGTTTGTGCATGTAGGTATAGTGCATGTGCATTTGCGTGTGCCTGTGTATATAGAGCCCACAGGTCAGTGTTGGGTGTCTTCCTTAGTCATTCCCCATTTTGCTTTTCTGAGTCAAGGTCTCTCACTGGCCTGAAGCTCTCCAATTGAGCCAACAAGCTCCAGGCAGGGATTTGCCTTTCTCCAGCCCTCCAGAGCTGGGGCACAGTTGGATGCCACCATTCCTGGCCCTTGCATTCAATGTGTGCGGATCTAAACTCAGTTCTCGCGCTGTACTGCTGGCTCAGTCATCTCCCTAGCTCTCTAGATTTTGTTGTTCATTTGTAGTTTTTTTTTTTTTTTTTTTTTTTTTTTCAAGACAGGTTTTCCCTGTGTAGCCCTGGCTCTCCTGGACTTGCTTTGTAGACCAGACTGTCCTGAAACTCACAGAGATCGCCTGCCTCTGCCTCCCAAGTACTGGGATTACAGGCATGTGCCATGGCACCCAGTTGCTTCTTAGATTTTTAATTAAAAAAAAAAAAAATTACCTGACTTGAGCCTGGGAAGAGTCTGACTGAACTCCAAAAAGGCAGTATGCAGGTTTGGTTTTTCTATTTTTTTCCCACTTGTCTGGGAAGAAGCCCATTATATAGTAGGCACTCTATAAATATAGAGAGGATTCTTCAATGTTTAGGCTCTGGAGTCAGACCGGATTTGGCTCAGTTGCTGAAGCACCTGAGGTGGCACACTTTAATTCCACCACTGGGGAGGCAGGGACAAAATGTTCCCTGGGGCTTGCTGGCATCCAGCCAGCCTAGCCTACTTGATGAATTCCAGGTCCTAGTGAGAATCCCTGTCTCCAACAGTGAGCTGAGTGATTCTGAGAAATTACACTCTGTGTCCACCCTTGGCCTCCACACAACATGCACATGCACAAACAGGTACACTTGCATGTGCACACATAAAGTCCTGGGATCAGCTTCCGAAATGCAGGTCACCTGCCATTCCTGCATTTTGGAAACTGAGGCAACAGGATGGAGAGTTCATAGCCACCTGGGCTACAGAGTAAGATCCCATATCACTAGAAAAGAAAAAGAGTCTAATTGTATGGCCACATAAGGGAATGGGTCCTGCATCTTGCATGGGGCTCCCTCCCATCTCCTCATCACCAGGTGAGCATCCTAGCTGGCCTTTCTGCCCTCATCACAGACTCACTCAGTATAGTCCGGTTGTAGTCCTGCTGTGCTACTGACAGCTATGCTAATCTGTGCCCCTCCCTTCCCTCTCTAAACAAGGAGACTGCCTCCATCCCCCAAAGCCTTCTAAGAATCCACAGCTGACAGACTCCCATGGAAGCCCCCAGAGCGCCATACTGGTCCATTCACACCACTCCAGCCAGTTAGAACACAGCTCAGAACCGGCTGCCTCTGAAGAGCCAGGTGGGGAGGAACCACTACCTGAAGCTTCCAGGTAGGTGGCTTAGAATTTGCCAGCAAGCGTCTCCTACTTCAGTCATTCCCAGCAAGCCATGGGAAAGACAAACGGAGTGGGCCAGGATGACCTGCCACCAGTGCAACCCTTTCTGGGTCTCTGGCTTAGGGCTTGCTTCTCATAGCTCTCTTCACCTGACTCAGTCTCAGTCTCACCACACTACCCTAGAAGATAGCTCAGGTGGGAAGGAACTTCTTTCACAAGCACAAAGACCTCAGTTCTATCTCCAGAACCCATGTAAAGTCTCAGCATGGTGCTGTGTTCCTGTAATCCCAGTTCTGGGGAGCTAGGCTAGCCTAGTTGGTAAACTCCAGATGAGTGAGACTGTCTCAAAATGTTCTAAGGATGACACCTGACACGGTCCTTTGGGATCCACATGCATGCATGCACATGTGTAAGAAAAACAGGGCAGTCATGGTGCCTTTAACCCCAACATGTTTGGGAAGCTGAGGCAGATAGACTTCTGTTAGTCTGAAGCCAGATGGGTTACATAGTGAGACCCTATCTCCAAAAGGAAGGAAAGAAAGTAGAATTAGGAGGAGCAAAATGATGGGTGACTGAAGTCTTTAGGGAAGACATTGTAGCCTAGGTGACCATATTTACTGAATTAAAAATATTATGGCCAGTGTTCAGTCCACCACAGCTGTTCTGTATGTGTGCCTGTATGACTTCTGGTCACAGCAGTCTTGCTTAACAGTGGCACTATGAAGCTACAAATGTTGGCTCCTCAGACTTGTATGGACCACATATCACCTAATCCTTCCTCCCAGAAAGGCACAGAGATAGAATCCTCTGTTCACTTCTAGGCCAGTAGGCATGGCACTGCTGTGTGTGTGGCTTTCCAGTCTACAAAGACCAGGGGTGTGGGGCCAGGGATTCTACCCATCTTGGGTTTTTTGTTGTTGGTTTTTATGTTTCATTAAGAAATAACACATATACGGCAAAAGACAAAAGAAAGCCAATATAAAAGAAACAACTTAAAATGTGGAGAGAAATCTTGTCAGTGTTCCAGAAGCCATCCGAATCTCCTCAGTATACAACTTGTATTTTACTTTGTAGTATTGGGATGAAATACAGCCCTTATCATGTCAGTGTTCTACCTTAGCACCTCAAAGATTAAATGTCTGTCTGTCTGTCTGTCTGTCTGTCTGTCTGTCTATCTATCTATCTATCTATCTATCTATCTATCTATCTATCTATCTATTTTGCGACACAGTTCCTGGCTGGCCTGGAACTCACTGTGTAGACTAGGCTGGCTTTGAACTCAATGGAGATCTACCTGTTTCTGCCTTCTGAGTACTAGGATTATAGGGATGCACCATCATGCCTGGTTGGGATTTTATTTTATCCCTCCTATATTCCCTCCCTCCCTCCTTTCTTTACCTTCCATCTTTTTTTTTTTTTTTTTTTTTTTTTTTTTTTTGGTGTGAATGGGGGCTGACGTGTCATGTCGTTTATGTGGATGTCAAAGGAGGTCAGAGACAGCCTAACTTTCCAGTGTGCCAGTCCTAACTTTCCATTTGTTTGAGACAGGGTGTTTGTTGTTTTTCTCTTATGCACAGGCTAGTTGCCCTCAAGCTTTCAAGGGCTCTCCTGCCTTCTCCTCACATCTCATAGGGGTGCTGGGGTTACATGTGCCTGCACCACTCCTCCAGCTTAGCTTTTATATGGGCCTTACACTTGTGTGGCAAGGGCTTTTACACGCTGAGCTATCTTTCCAGGTTATTTTTGTATTGCTAAGTAATACTGTGCTTTGTATATCAGTCATGTGTTTTTGTAATTCTCACCCTTTCAAAGCAGATAATCTGTGCCTGGAGACTAGTGGTAAAGCGCACACTGAGCAAGTGCCAGGCCCTGGGTTCCGTCCACAGCCCTAGGATGGGGGTGGAATTGATGTATTGTTTAAACTCCAAAAAGGACTTTCTGGATCTCCCTAGAGGATTCAGAATCACTTTTCATTTAGGTTCTCATCTTCCTTTTTTCTTGGAGTGAGTGTGTGTGGGGGGGTTATATATTTTAGTGGTGTGTGTGTTGTGTATGTGTGCGTGTGTTGGGGATAGAACGCAAAGCCTCACATACTAGGCTCCACTTCGGGAGCTCTGCACCTCTGACCTTCCTTTGTCTTGGTATGTAAATGACTTTTTCTTGATATATAAATGACATCTGGAAGGACTTCAGGTCCTTTTCTGTTTTGTTTGTTTCCACTTAGCTGCACTGTAGAGGACCCAGGAGCTGCCTTTGACCTCCTAGGGTCACCCAAAGAACTGATCTCCCTGCCTCCTTCCCAGGTGAGCCTCCAGTTCTAGGTTCTATATCCTGATCATGGCCTGCAGCATCTCACTGCCCATAGGGCTGCAGGGACATGCAGGGACAGAAGATACTTGTGTGTGAGACCACAAGAAAGGAAATCAAAGCCAAGCATAGTGGTACACACTTTTAATCTCAGAATTTGAGAAACAGAGGCAAGTGAATCTTCGAGTTCAAGGCCAGTGTGGACATAGTGAATTCTAGACTAGTCTGTGCTACGGAGTAAGAACTTGTCTCGAGAAACAGGGTAAGGAGCAGGGCACAGTGCTGCCCACCTTTAATCTCAGCATGTGGCAGGCAGAGGCAGGAGGATCTCTATGAGTTTGAGCCCAGCCTGGTTTCCAGAGGCAGTCTAGGACAGCCAGGGCTGCACAGAAAAATCCTGTTTCAAAAAAAAAAAAAAAAAAAAAAAATGGGTAAAGGGGTAAAGAGTTGGGGATGTAGGGTAAGGGATGTAGCTAAGTTGATGGAATGCTTGCCCTAGCATTCATGAAGACCTGGGTTTTATCCCCAAGGTTGCATTAGCCAGGCAAGATGGTACATGCCTGTAATCCTAGTATTGCATAGGTGAGGACAGGAGGACCAGGAACTGAGGGAAGTCAAAATCAACTTCAGCTATATATCAAGATCAAGGCTTTTGGAAGGACCCTACTGTTTTTTGAGGTTGCAATCCTCCCAGACCAGATAGACTTTCTACCCTATAGCTTAGGATGGCCTTTGCAGGTCTCCTTTTCCCTGAAGGGCTGTTGGCCACCAGCCCACAAAGACAGGAGACAGAAGGTGAGCTTGGAGCTAGATGGAGGACTCTTTCTCCCCAGAAGGACCCTCTACTCTCCTCCTGATCTCATCTGAACAGTGTCTTTAGGTAGAGATGCCTCTAACCACATCTGATATATGGCCTTTGGCATAGTTCCCTGCTAGCTCTCCCTCCCTCCACACTTGGATAATTAGGTACTGTGTTTCCATTCATATGCTGCCTAATGCAAATCAAACATCCTTGAAGTGCCCAGTTCTAACCAATTGTGTACACCTATGCTGGGAGCCCCCACCCACTCCCCAAGGACTTTCCTTTGTTCTTCCCTAATAAAGTTGAACTCTCTCCCTGAGGCTCCCAGAGGTCATTTCTGTCGTGCTTGAGGCCTTCTGAACCCTGTACCTCGCCTTCTGGCTCCTCCTGTCTTTGTGGGCTGGTGGCCAACAGCCCCTCAGGGAAGAGGAGACCTACAAAGGCCAGCCTAAACTATGTGAAATCTCATCCCCAAACAAAAAATCCAGGGGGGAAACCACCTTCAAGTAAGGAAGAGTTGGGCATGGTGACACACACCTTTGGTCCCAGCACTCGGGAGGCAGAGGCGGGCCCAGTCTACATAGTGAGTTCCAACAGCCAGGGCTACACAGAGAAACCTTATCTCAAGAAAAAGAAAAGAATAAGCTTGGTCTGTACCTGAGTAGGAGAATGCTTCCCAGCATGCAGGAAGTTCAGTCCCTAGTACTGCAAAACGAAAAGGAAAAAAAAAAAAAGAATGTGCTAGGGATGCTCTTTCTGAGACCCTGTTCTTCCACATACCTGCTTTGTTTTTGTGTCCCTCATACAGAACTCAGGGAGGTTTGTCCCTCAGTTTTCCAAACCAAAGAAGACAGTAAAAAGAAATGCCAAGGCATGGGAAGAGGCTCCAGAGAGCTGCACCATAATCCAGGTAAGCACCTTCCCTTAGCTGCTCCTGCTGGCTAGCCTTAGTCTGCCCCAACTTCCCTGACTTTCCCAGGTATCTGTCCTGTGTGCACTGCATGCTAAACATTGCACTTGAGACCACGGCATGTACCATGACACGGAAATAGTCAAACTCAGAGAGGCAGTATAATTTTCCTAAGAACCTCATCTACTTCTTGAGGGCTTCTGTGCAAGTTAGGAGCCTTTTTTAAAATGTGGGGACTGGAGAGGTGGCTCAGGAGTTAAAAGCACTGCCTACTTTTCCAGAGAATCTAGATTTAATTCCCAGCACCTACATGGCAGCTCACAATGATCTGTAACTCCGGTTCCAGAGGATATGATGCCATCTTCTAAGGGCACCAGGGATGAAAGTGGTGCACATACAGTGGTGCAGGCAGAATACCCACATCATACATACACACATAAAATAAAAATGTGTGTGTGCGTGTGCGAGTACAAATGCCATCAGAGGCCAGAAAAGGACATCAGTGCCTCTGGAGCTGGAGTTATAGGTAGTTGTGAGGCCCCTAAAGTATGTGCTGGGAATCAAACACAGGTCCTCTGCAAAAATAATGTATACACTCTTAACTGCTGGGCCATCTCTCCAGCCCTCCGGGATTCTAGGATTATCCTTGCCATCATGAATCCTGGGGTTGACAATGTCACTTATGACATATGCCCCTGGAGGAAAGTAGGGCCTTTATAGCAGCAGTGTTTGTATTAGTTCCTAACTGGGAGCACTCCAAGAAATCTTCAGTGGATGAATGTTTGGGTTGGGGAATGGCTCAGTGGTAGAGCACTTGTAATAGCCAGTACAAGGCCCTGGGTTCTGTCTGAGTACACAAAATACATGATTGGGGCTGGGGATATTTCGTATAGTACTTGCTTAGAATACAGGGAGCCTTGGACCACCCATCCCCAGCACTACGTAAATTGTATGATGGTGCTTGCCTAAAATACCAGCTCTTGGGAAGTAGGTGGAAATTTGAGCATCAGAAGTTCAAGGCTATCCTGAGCTGTGTACCAGCTTTTGGGATCAGGTTGGGCTTCATGAGAACTAGTCTTGTGAAGGTGAATGTTGGGGTTGGGATCATAAAATTAGGGCAGACTAGTAAGTGGCAGAATGCATAAAGTTTGGGAGAGATGGAACACAGCTATCTTTAATTTATTTTTTATTTTATATACACACACTTTGCCTCTGTGTCTCTGTGATGATGTCAGATCATGGAGTTACTGACAGTTGAGCTGCTGTGTGGGTGCTGGGAATTGAACCGGGGTTCTCTAGAAGAGCATTCAGTGCTCTTAACAGCTGAGCCATCTCTCTAGCCCCAAACGCAGCTATTTTTAAAAACCAGCAAATGACAAGAAAACAGCTATAGTTGGGCACAGTGACACATACTTATAATTGTAGCACTCAGGAGTCTAAGGCAGGAAAATTTTGAGTTTAAGGCTATTCTGTGCTACATATTGACAGCATATCTTAAATACACAACAAAACATGAGCTTATGGGCTGGCAAGATGGCTCAGCCTGTAACAGTGTTGGCTACTTAAGTCTGACAACTTGAGTTCAATGTACAGAACCCATAAAAAGGAGAAAGGTGAGAACCAACTCCACAAAGTTGTTCCCAGTGTGTGTCCGCTGCCATCATTACCAATCATCCCTAACAAGACAGTTATGGCCATGGGTCTGTAAAGGCTGTGGAGATAAATCAGAGATGGTTACAGGGAACATGATCTGCTTTATTGCACACGAGCAGCCACTTATATAGTAGAAGCCTATGGACTGTGATTGGCTACCTCAGATTGGACAGTGAGCACTCATACCACCAGGATCTCTGTGTGGAAGAAGGACATTAAAGGAGATGTAGAGAGTGAAGACTCGTCTGCAAGCCAGCCACTGGCTACTCACACTGCTTCAGAATTCAGTGTTCTGGCTTCAGGAACATGGTGTGCGTGCTTACTTAGAAGTGTAGCGTGCCAAGTAAGCTGGGCGCCAGGTCATGCCTGTACTTTCTCCTGCACCTCTCATATCATACATGTACACCACACACGTCATATATATCCCATGTCATGTATACATGCCATGCATGATACATAGCATACATCAGATTCATCATATGTAGATATCCCACACATGCATAAACAAATCACATATTATTCACACATCTTTCACACAATTATAAAACAGTAACAATAAAAAATTTTAAAGATATTCTCACTTGGGAGGCAGAGGCATGTGTTTTGTGTTTGTACCAGCTTGATCTATGCATGGAGCCCCACACCAGTCAGGCTGCATGGGGAAACCCAGTTTCCAAAACCAGAATATATGGAACAAGAGCAGTTTTAGTGGAAGGCCACTGCTGCCAGTGCTGCTTAGCTTCCTCCTCATGGTGGCAGTTTCTGGAGGGAGAGATTGTCAGACAGGCCCTCCTGGTTGTTAGAGTGACCCTCCTGACTCTCCTACCTCTGCCTCCCAAGTGCTGGACTGCAGGTCTGTACTGGTAGGTAGGTCTTCACCAAACTCATATCCAGGTCAGGATGTCATAGTTGAGCAACACAGGGTGTTTACATTGGAAGATGTGAGTATAAAGGGGATGGTCTGTAGCATTTGTTACAATATGACACAGTGCCTTCACAATAGAAAACCTCCAATTTCATCATCATTGTTAGGTTTTTGAGACAGAATCCCACTTTGTGGTCCAGACCAGCCTCAAAATCTGATTCTTTTCTCAACCTCTAAATGGATGATATATGTGTGCCACCAATTCCAGCCCTACCTCCCCTGGGGTTTTGTAATGATGTATTTTTTTTATTACCTATATGCGTGTGTATGTGTGTGAGTATGCCTGTACATGTGCCACAGTGTGCATGTGGAGGAGAGCAACTCTATAGTCCGTTCTCTTCACCAGGTGGATTCCAGGGTTCAATCTCAGGTCATCAGGCTTGACAGAAAGTGCCATCTCTACGCACTGAGCCATCTCAGTCTCTGGCATATCTTATTTAAGTTAATAAGGGGCTGGTGAGATGAATCAGCAGGTAAAGGCACTTGTCACCAGATCTGACAACCTGAAAAGCCTCATAGTGGAAGGGGAGACTCCCACAAGTGGTCCTCTGGCCTTCATATGTACATCATGGCAAGTGTGTGCATGCACACACATATATAATACAATAACCTGATTAGGCTTTAAACTCTTTATTGAGTGGGAATAGAACTCAGGGCCTTGTGCGTATAGGCAAACGCTCTAGTACAGAGCCACCCCATGGCCTACCACCTGGGTTTTTTTTACTGTGAGCTCCTGAGTGCTTGGTGCTGGCAGAGAGGACCCATAAAAGGAGAGCCGTGTGCACTCCCTGTCCTCCTCCTACTTCAGCACAAAGCTCTGCCTAAAGCTACTGGAGCCCACCGTCGTACCTAGTGTGGGTGCAACCATCTGACGTTGAAGACAGGGTCCTCAACTAGGGGACCTAGAACTAGAAAAGTTCTCCAAGGTGCTTGGTTATCTGAGGCCAAGGTTTACTCTTCTATTTCCACAGGAAACAGAGCTGGGCTCCCTCCAGGCAGGCAGCCAACCACAGAAAGAGCCCCTGAGGTTCCTGCTCCATGATGCCAAAAGAGCAGAAGACCAGACATGGGCAGATGGCATCCACTCAAAGGAGAGTTCCACCTCACCAGATATTGGAGGCCTGGAGAACAATGGTTTTGAGATGCAGAGGGCCACAGTTCAAGATAGTAGTATCCAGGAAAGGCACCTGTCAGATGGTGATGCTGAAGGGAGGGAGGCAGATAACAGAGCCACACAGGAAGGAGATGTCCAAGGAAGGGAAACAGGGGACCAGCAGTCTGGGGAACCCCAGGAAGAAGAGGACATCCTCTACACTTCAACATTAGTTCCTGCCTCAGATCCCACCATATCATGCCTAAAGACCTCATCTGTGACTCAAGACCTCCCTGTCCCCACACATATTCTCAGCAGCACTGCTGTGGCACCCAGCTGCAGCAGCCCAGCAGATGCCTCTCTTATGGACAGTGTCATTAGCGATGTGAACTTAGATCCCTCTGTGCTACAACACAGAACTCCAGAGGTGGCCAGGCTGCTGGGCTCTCCAGATGGAGAGCCCAGTGGAAGCTGTAGTGGAACTTTTCTGGACTGCATACTTTCTGCTGAGGAGACCACAGCAGGCAGAGAGGAGGTCAGCTGGAAAGAGAAGTCACCTAGTAACATCCTGGCAAGCTTCACTGAGGCTTCAGTTCCTGAGAAACAAGAGCTCATGGTGGAAGCTGGAAATTCAGGTCCTATAGCCCAAGAAATGGGTCCAGGTGTCAAAACCAAGGACCCTGGCTCTGATGGGCAGTTGCCAGGAGGGATAGAAATGCTGCATTTACAGGAACAGCCCATGAGCCAAAAGGTAGTGGAGTTAAGTAGCCTGGACTGCCATCAAGACTTTGAGGGCTTCAGTCTGTCTCCTCATGCCTCTTCTCAGCCAGAGAATAGTTGTGCAGCTAGTGACTTTCTCCAGGAGACTAAGGCCTGTCATAGCAGCCCAGGCATTCCTACAGACCTGGCAGAGCAGCGGCAGCCAGCTCCCAGTTCCAGAGATCAGGCTGCATGGCAGGAGTCCTCAGCAATGGAACTAGACTTCCTGCCTGACAGCCAGATACAGAATGCCCTGGATGCCCCCAGTGTGGAGGCTCTACCTGAGCAGGTAAGAGTTTTCCTGGTCAACAGACACCCCACTCCTTGTAGGTGACAAGATGGGGCTAACATGCCTGACACAATATAGGCATCTGGGGGTGGGGGATGACTCACAACAACTTTGGGCAAGGTAGAGTCTGGTTTTCCTCAAAGGTAGACCTGTTGCCTATCTGTGTGGGCCTGGCCTATGTGGCTGCTAAGGAGCCCTAGGATAAACACATACAGAGGCTTTGTCAGTCTGGGACCTTCCTCCCATAACTAGTGTCCTTAGGTGTGCCACCCATGGCCAGCATCTGCCCCTGGCTCTCAGGGCGATGCGGAGGACCATTATCAGCCACACCTGAAGAAGCCAGTGTCCTCACAGCAGTAAGAGGAAAGGGAGCTCACCTCTGAACTGGAAAGTGCCCTTGTACCTTTGAGATTTATTGGACATCTTGCCTGATTTTCCTGCAGATATGTGAGTAACTGTGCTTTGTGTTATAGTTCCTAAGGGTCTTGTCTACCCACAGCTGCCCAGATGTGACCTTCCATGCCTCTAAGCTGAGGTCAGCCATTCAAAGCTACCTGTCAGCCACACCCTGAGACTAGCTGGCTCTCTCCTACTCAGGGTGTGGTATAGATGTTGAAGGAGGCAAGGTACCTGCTGGAGAGGAGAAACCTGTGGTGCACCTATGTCTCCTGGAGTCTAAAGCTGCTCTGCCTTGGAATAGGCCTCCAGCATGATATGGGAGTGCCCTCTCAAAGAGCCAAGACTTCACACTGAGCCACAAGCTTCTGTTGAGACACTTAGATAGTCCATTTTGTCACTTTGAGGGAAGATTTTCATAAAACAACCCCTTAATGCAAGCAAAAAATTTTACCTAGTGCTCAATCCAAGAAACAGGCAGCCATGGTGCCTGTTCTGTCCTGGCACCAACAGGATGGAGGGAGAGCCTGCTTTTCCATCCTTGTTGGAGATCTTGCACTGTGAGAGGCCTAGGTCCCATCCCACTTTAGTAAACAAAACCTATCAGGACTACAGGAACATGACACAGCCTATGCCAGACTCAACAGGCAGCACCAGCCTGGGAACAGCTAGCTTTGACACTAGGCATTCCTGAACAAGTCAGAGTGACCCAGCCACTGAGCGTGTTCCTGTAGAAAGGCAACTTAGGAAGACCAGTCCAGCTAGAAGACAGAGGCTACATCTCCCAACATAATGACACTTAGGATCAGAACAGGTCTCCTGCTGACCTCACACACAGCCACACAGCCATCCCAGAGGAGGGCACGCTTCTAGGTCACCCTTCAGTGAGAGAGAGTCTGCCTGTAACACAGTGCTCTCCTAGCAGGAATTTTTTTTTTCCTCACTGTTCTGTGTCCATGCTGAACACTTCAGTGTATTGGTCTGAAGTTGTGCAGCTAGCGTGGCTGAATGGCATGAATGGAGCCTTGGGCTCTATCCCCAGTACTTGGGGGGAAAAACAGATTCTTTGGTCCCTCCTAGGGTTTGGGTACCTGCTGGTCATATATGACTAAGGTATCCAGGGCTTCCAGTGCCACAGTCTCTTCTGTCTCAGGCAACACCCACAGGCCTGGTGGAATGTGGCCCTTTTACGGAAGATTCTTCTCCCCACAGCTGAGCAGTGTATTAATATGCACAAATGTGAACATCAGATTTCATTTCATTTTAGATGGGTTTTGCTGGATTACCCTGGGTGGGCTCAAAGGATCCTCCCATGTCTGTACCACCAGCCCAGCCACTGTTTCCTCATGAATTCCCATGCCAGTCTATATGAACTCTTTCCCATGTAAGACACTTTGCCTGAGGAAAGTAATAGCACCTCCTTTGAGCTGCTACCACTTGGGTCCTGACTCTGCAGGCCACATTGACCTCAATCCCCCAACCACATTCTCCTCTCTTAGACTTCCAAGGGCCAGTGTTACATATGTCCTGGTCCCAGGGTCTTTTGTTTTTTTAAAGGTAGGATCTTAGACTAACAATGATGACACTTATACATGGTAGCCTGAAACCCAGGAGGCTGGCCCCAAACTCAGAAGTACCAGTCCTGCCCCAGCCTCTCAAGTTGCTGAAATTATAAGTGTGAACCATCTTGCCTGGCCATGTTTTTTTTTTTTTTTTTCCAAGACAGGATCTGTTATTCCTGGCTGTCCTGGAAGTCTGTGTAAACCAGGCTGGCCTTGAATACACAGATCTGATTGCATCTGCCTCCCAAGTGCTAGGATCAAAGGTGTTTGCCACTGTGCCCAGCTTTGCTTCAGGATCTTTAAGATACTTAATGACACTTCCACGGTGATTAGGATAAAGCTCGTCCATCAGTGTGTCTGTCCCACAATGCATAGCAGCTTGTTGCAAGGACAAGAAAGGGGACAACAGAGCAGCTGTGTCTGGAGCCCCTTCCCGGCATCACGCTTCCTCTGTAGGAGCTCAGCTAAAGTGAAGTCTTAGGTGCTATGGCTGCTTCCCTCTGCCAGGCTGGGTGATTCACACACTGTCCCCACTCCTTCCAGGGTTTTCCTGCAACGAATGTGCCAGGCCTTGGTTGGCCTGTCCCTAGCCCGTATGCCATCGAAGGATCCCCAAAGGTGGTGGCCAAACCTCAGCCCAGGTAGGCTTCCCAGTCTTCAATCCAGAATGGCCCATCTTTCAAACCACCATGTACCATATGCTCTGGAAACTCAGGTGGCCCATGGTCCACACCCGGGTCTGTTCTTGGAAGCTGGGTCCCCTGGGGCAGTCTCGCCATCACCTTGGACCATTCTAGCCTCTTTGTACATGGTATTCTAATAGGAGAGCCTCGGTGTTTCCCGAGTCTCAAGAACTAGTATCTAGGGCTAGGGACTGTGGCCAGAAACAGTCTTGAAGCTGCCCTCACCTTTGGCTCTGGGCAGGTACCCCAGGGACTCTAGCCCAGCCTTTCCCCTTACTGCCCTGTCTGGCCCTTGGAGGCCTTCCCTCCGTGATCCGGACTGTGTCTCTGCAGACTTATCAGTGATTAACCGCTAAGTTTCTGTTCCCATCAGGCAGTCACGAAGGAGGGCTAGGATGCCACACTGACTTCCTTTGTCCCCTTTTCTTCCTTCAGCCTTCCTCTGTAATACATATTCCTTCTTCCACTTGTCAAAACATTTCCTTCCCCTGCAGGTTAGTCCTGTTACCTACTGTTACTGAGAAAGAGCTCACAGCCAATGGTGTGGCAGTGTGGGTGAACAGGAGCCATATTGGGTCCTGGAATCCAGTTGGTGGCCTGAGGCTGAATGAAACTTGAAGAAAGCTAAGGACCAGACAGGCAGCCACCATAGGGTGCCTGGTGGCTGTGTGGCAGACCTGGGGCTGCGTAGAAGCTCAGAGCCAGCCAGCTATTAACCCGAGTTGACAGGGCCCTTATTCTGCCCATACACACAGGCTATATATCCCTTCAGGAAATGCTATGGCATATCCGCTTCAGACTGTCTTGAGTGCTAGAAATCATGGTGAACAAATTAAAGTCAAATGACCAAGTGTTGAGAAAGGAGCAGTCCAAGGAGTTAAAATCTGACCATCAAGACAAACTGGGAAAGAATATTCCAGAGTCCTCAGAGGCACTGCAAGAATGGTTAGGAAGGAATTCAGTGTGCGTTGAGCAGAGACAATGGAAAGGGCCAGGGTCCAGTTGAGGACAGGTGGTGCCTGTTGGTGCAAAGAGTCAAGGAAGGCAATGGCAGGAGCCCAGGAATGGCAGGCAGTACATGGTGGCAGGGGTTGGAGCTTTGATATTGGAAGGTGGGGGTGTAGGAAATGGGCAGGACATCACAGAGAAGCTCTCCCAAACCAATGAATGATTGATCATTTTGAACACTCAGGCCACTCCTTTCTTTCTTCCCTTCCTGATAGACCCACTTTGGGGACCTGGGCCCAAGAGGCCTGCGGGATGCAGGATGCTACAGACACAGTACATGGCCTTGTGGTGGAGCTCTCCAGTCTCAAGTAAGGGCAGCTCAAGCCACCAGGGATAAGGAACAGAGTGGAAACTGAGGTGGGATTACAGGTGGATGGGGGTGTCAGGTGGCCCCAGCCCTGGCTGTCTGCCTCACATTTGTGCAGTGGAGTGCCTGATTGTCACCTCTAGCCTACATGTCTCAAGCTGTTATGTTCATAAAGCAGGATGTACCTGTGCCTGCACTTGCCATTTGTGCACCTGTGAAGAGCCATCTGGCAAGTGTGGCTGAGATGGTCCTGTGCAGTGGGGAGGTCCCAGCTAGTTCTGCCCTGTTTCCATTTCTTCTACAGCCGTCTGATTATGAGCACCCACCGGGACCTGGAGGCCTTCAAGCGCAGGAAAACCAAGCGTCTGCCTTACCTGACAAAGGGATTGAGGAACCTTGCTAGAGGGGATCAGGGCTGGGGGGACTTGTAGGCTGCTTCAGCCTGTGGTGGTCAGTTTACCATGGTTTCCATATGGAGGAGGCTGGGGGTAGCCTCTTGGCTAAGATCAGTATCACTCCAATGGGAGAGGGTGCCTGAACTTCCCTGCCCAGATGTTCATCCAGGTTTGTGAGCCCAGGCTCCTGAGCAGAACTTCAGTTGTCTTTGAGTTTGTATCTGGAGCCAGGAGATACCCTTTATTCTTGTGCCTGTCTTTCCCCCCACGGTTTCTATGTTACTTTTGGTAAGTTAGGGAATAAACAATGCAGTCATGAGCCTCTAATCTGCAGCTATGGTGGTGAGGTTCCCGGTCCCTGTGTTCTGCCCACAGACCACTCTAATCTCAATTTCCCTGCAGCTGCCTTCTCCACCTTTAGAAGGCTGGGTCTGCCAAAACAGGTCAGGGCTCCCCACAGCTCAGCATCCAAGCTTCTAGGAGAAAGGCTGTATGTGCATGGGTAACACATCCACACCCAGGTTGGAGGGCACTAAGCCTCCTTGTAGTTGTTACAGCCAAGGTCCCTTTCTACTGTGTAGGATAATGAGCTATGATCACCCACCTTACCCCACATGCCTCTGGACATGACAGTGTCCGGCTGTGCCAGGGGCAGTCATACCATTTGCAGAAATACATGCATGGGTTGGCTTAGGCCTTAACTCTCACAGCAAAGGATGGGCCTCCCCACCTCAGCCTCCTTATAGGGGAAACCCAGTCAGTGTTGGAAGCTGTGAGACAGGCAAGGTCTTGGCTGGAAGGGACAGCTGTCTCTAACCCCATCTAGTCCCTCCCCCTGCTCCCAGGGTCAGGCTCTGGTTAGTGCTCTGGCTTATGCAAGGAGCTGCTGCACACACACCCCCCCTCAGTGCCACTCACAGACCCTGGGCTACTAAAAACCTTCTTCTTCCCTGGCTCCCAGACCATCCCAGGCCAGGAACAAAGGAATCCCTAGAAATCTAATTCCCATCTCCACCTCAGACCCAGAAAAATATGGGCTGAGGGTAAAGCCTCAGGCCAGTTAAATGCTTTCCTCAGCTTCCCCTACAGGACACGTGGAGCCGAAGAAGGCAGACAAAGGTGTAATCGTCCACAGAGTGTATCCCCACCCCTATTAAGCCCAACATGGCATTTGTGCCAACCCGTGACACCCAGGAAGGTAGCAGTATCTCTTGAGGGACACTAACTTGGATCTCAGTAGTCCCCTCAAGTCCTGTGCACCTTCGTGCAAGGGGAAGGCTTCATTTTGCATATCAGTATGCAGTGGGTAGCTGGGGGTTTGATTATCTCACAGCTACCCTAGGGGTATCCGATCCTGGTTCAGCTCCCCAAGGTGACCCCAGGATTCAAAGAGCAGTTTGTCATGTGGGAGGTGGCAGTAAGGATGTGATCTGTAGAGTAGCGGTATCCCTGCCAGCCAGATTCATACCACCTTGTCCCAAGGCCAGGCTCCACTCCTCAACATTTATTGGGTGCTGATGCAACAATACAAGCAAGACCAGGGTGGGGGCAGTCTCTGACAAGACTGTGCCCAGCCTCAGAGTCCTAAGCAAGGTCCAGTCTCCAGCACGCCTGTGTCCAGACCCTTGGCAAGGGTGCCACCACAGTCCTCCCCACTCCAAGCTCCTAGGCCGTAGTGGAGGGACAGTAGGCCGAGGGTGAAGGTCCAGAGGGCTTCCTGCCACTTTTGGAACCTGGAGGTTAAAAGCAGAGGAGAGAAATGCTGAGTGGCTCAGATGGCCAAGTGAGGTACCCACGGTGGCACCTACAGCCTCCCGGGCTGTTGCACCACCTAGTGGCCGTACCTGGGGTTGTCATTCTGGGACACAGAGCTGAGCCAAAAGCACAGAAATGGTACTCAAGGCGGTGTCCCTGCCAGGCTGCAAGAGACCTTGCATCCCTTACACTCAGAAGGCAATGCTCAGCTTGCCGTGACAGTGTGCTGGTAAGGGCATCCTCCAATACCAGGGAGGTGTTCCTGTCACTTCAGAATTTAGAGACCATCACCTATGACTCCTCATTGCTGGCTTCTCCAGGCTGAATCCCTTTCAGACCTCACTGGGAGGGACAGGGCTGTGGTACAGCAGGCAGAAGGTCCTGGGTACCAGCCCCAGCATCAGACCAGCAACATAAAACTCAGACATGGTAGCTCATGTCTGACCCAGCAATAGGGAGGCTGAGGCAGATTCAGGTCCACCTGGATCTATGTAGAGACACTGGCTCAAAAACCACTTCACAGAACGGCATCCTCACCTGTACAAAATCTGCCTCTAACTGGAGTTTCACGGAAAAGTTAAAGGAGACACCCCAGCCCACTGCCACCCTCTAGGAGCTCCCAGACAACCATGGAGGCAGCACATAGCCGATAACCAACCATGGCTCAGCAGCCAGCTGACTACCTCTTAGGCAAGTTCAGTGCCCCACCCACAAATTTAAGGTTTTCCTCCTGTGGGTCTGAAGAGCTATTAGACATGGAAACACCTGCCATCCTCACGCAATCTGAGCTCCTAACAACAAAATATAAAAAACAAAAACAAGAAACCCCAGCGGGTAAGAAGGCTCGCACTTCTGCAGAAGACCTGCATTTGTCCCAGCACCCAGAGGTCACTCACAACCAGTTGTGACTTAAGCGCCAGGTTTCTCATCCCATCTTCTGGATTGACACAGGTGGTGCGCACACATGCACACAGGCCAAAAACATCTATACCCATGAAATAAAATTGTCTGCATCTCTTGAGGTCTGGTAAAGTGCCTCAGTAGGTATAAGCGACGTGTGCTCGAGCCTGACCATGTGAGTTCTGTCCCCAGGACCAACACTGTGGAAGGAAAGAACCGATTCCTTCAAGTTACGTGTGGATGAGTGCATGTGCGCGCACACACAACCACAAATAAGTGTAACTTTCTAAAAAATAAATAATAAATAGGAAAGGAGATACCAGGACACCCTGCCCTGGGGTGCCAGTGCCCAACTGTAGACACTTGCTTCTGAGATCTTGGCCCTAGGGCTCATTAGCATATTAAGTCTTAATAGGGCCAGGGAGCTAGCTCAGTGGTTGAGTCCTGGCTGCTCTTCCAGAGGACTGGTGTTCAATTTCTAGCACCCGCACGATGACTCTTAACCAACTGGTTCCAGGGGGACCCTCCCCTCAAGCATATGGACACAGCACACATGCAGGCAGACCACCCCCACACGGAAAATCTTTAAAAGCCTTAGTTCCAGCTGATTCAGCCAGGCCCTGGAGTTGGAGTGGTGTGCTTCATTTGTGGGGGAGATGGAGAGGCCTCATATCCTAACACAGACCCACCATGAATGCACGTTCCAGACAGGGTCCAACTACAGTCTTCCCGGCCCAGCCCCCCACCCAGCCCTCCTGGCTGGGAGCTGGGCCTATAGGCCCAAGGCAGCCAGCCACCTTCCTGGAGCTCTGGAACCCCTTGGCTCTGGTCTGATGCTCCTGCCAGAACTCTGATAAAGCAGCCTTGCCCATCCCTGCCTACCCCACTACACCCCATGTTTGTGCCTGTGGAGGTCAGAGGACAACTTGAAAGATGTCCGTTTTCTCCTTCAACCATATAGATCCTAGGAACAAACTTGGGTTTTGCAGGTTAGAGGCAGTCTTTACTCACTGATTCTGGAAACTTATTTTTTATGGTACTGACTGGGGAACAAATTCCAAACTCCCAAAACTGACACCTGAAGATCCAGTGATTCCTAGCCACCCCACAGCACACACCCATACTCAATCACACTTCCACTCCCCAGGCCCAAACTGAAGATCTTAAGACTCCTACAAGTCACCTCCTCCAGGAAGCCTTTCTGGGATCCCCTCATCTGAGCCAACTCGCCCCCTGTCCAGGACTGTCTCATCTGCCACTCTACTGTCTAGTTTCTTCACTGCTAATCCAGTACCCAGTGAGGAACAGACAGGAAAATATTACTTGGCAAATGAACAAATGATTTTAGGGTTCAGATAGGTTTATCAGCTTTCCCCCCAAACTTTACAACTCCTGACCCCCAAGTAGAAAGCAGAGCTCACCGTAACAGCCATAGCATCTCTTAAGTACCACCCATTCCTGGGTTGCTCAGAGAATGACCTGTGAAAGGCCACACAGCAAGCATAGTACACCCCATGCTACCAGCTCAACACTGTGGGTCCCTCAGTTTCTAAGATACTGGCATCAAACACTTAAAAACACACCCAAAAATCCTAGAGCCTAGAATAGGTTCATTCTCCACCCTGCCCCTAAACCACCTGCACAGACACCTGCTGCTGTTTCTCCTCCTGGGCGGTAGCCAGCATCCTGTGTCTTTGCCTTGTCAGGCCGGGTCAGCTTTTTCCCTGCAGAGTTCCGGGTGGTGTAGCAGTAGACAGAAGTGTAGCCCTGGACGGTGAGTGGGCAGAAGCGTCGAGTGTGGGCATGCTCCTGAGTGGCTCCACACTGGGGACACACATAATCCCGCAAGATGGGACACAGCACCCGACCTGCCTCATCCTTCAGGACATGGGACTGATAGATGGCCCGGGACTCGCCATTGTGTTTGCAGAATGAGCATAAGCGTTCAGGAGCTGTTGAAGATTCTTTCCTGGCTTGCTGGCTTGCTGGGCTCGGCTTGGGCTCTGGCTTGGACTCTGGCTTGGGGTCCAGCCTTACACAAGGCTTCTCTTCCTCATGCAGAGCCCCAACCAGGTTTGCAAGACCCAGGTAATCAGTCCACAGATTGAAAGTCCCCATGGCTGGGCAGAGGAGCAGAGAAGAAAGCCTGCCTGGCTCCAATTACCCCTTCTTCCCTGAGCTCAGACTTCTCTGGCTGCTTTTTTTTTTTTTTTTTTCTTGAGGGGGTGTGAAAGGGTGGAGCAGGCAGGCTCTGGGGGGGGGGGTGTCTCTCATTGTCACTGGGGGCTTCTTACACACCTGCCCAGGGGGTATATGGTGTTTGTGTGGGCTGGAGGTAGCCAGAGGCAGATGGAGCCACTGAACCCGCAGGCTTCCCCAGGATCTCCTCCTCCTCCCTGTGGGAGGTCAACCCCTGCTTGCCTGTAGGTGAAGAGGTAGGTGGATGGCTGTGAATTCTGCCCCAGGGCCAAACACTTAGACTGACCAGTGATTCACTGATTTTTTTTTTTTTCTCTCTCTTCCCCAAGGCTGGGGAAGGGGCCAGGTAGCCTTGAGTTCTTGTTAGGTCAGGTATTGCAGCAATCCCAGTGCCAAAGAAGGGGACCTCTGCACAGAGGGGTGGGTAGGGGGTGGGGTAAGGGGATAAGGGGGTGGATAAATAAATCAAGAGCTGGATCCCAAATCTCTGACTTTGGTAAGGAACTTTCATGCCCACTCCACAAACCAAGAACTTAGTCATTAAGTGTGAATTAAAAGAAAAGAAAAATAAAAGGAAAACATGACTGCTCCTAATGGGTAGAGGAAAAGGTTCTTTTGTAGATAAATGGACAGTTGCAAGCAGAGGCAGAGACATCTGAGAAAGCCCAGGGTGGACATGAGCAGCAGACTGAGCCAGCTCATGTAAGAGGGGAACTAGAGCAGAGGCAAACAAACAAAACAGAAAGCAGAAAGGGGTGTGTAACCAAAACAGCTGTGCTATAATAGAAATCAGAGAGGCTAGGGGAAGGGAAAGCCCAGCCTATTTCCTTAACTAGAGAAGTTCAGGTAGGGTAAAAGGTATACCAGCCAGGAGGACCTCTAACAGGCAGGGACTGGGGGATGCTGGGAGAACGAAGCAGCCTGAGGCTTCAGCTTTGATAGGCACCTCAGCCATTTGCCCTGGGTTGGAGACCTTACAAAGTGGAGTTCCCAACTCTTTCTCCTCCAGTTAGCTCACTTAGGAGCCTCCAGGTTGGGGGCTAGGAGCACGGAAGGAGGGGAAAGGGCCCTCAAGCACCGGAGGGAGGGCAGGCTACAACTGGAATTTCCAACCCCACCTGTCAAAGGAGGCCTCAGTCTGAGCTCAAAATGTGAAATGTGTTTGGTTGGGAGTCAACCATTAGCTGTGGCAGACTTCCATCCCACTCATTCATCGGCCTGCCCATCTGTCTGATACACACGTCCATCTACCAATTCACCCATTCCTGAAGCCTCATTGAGCAGACATGCATCCTTTCAGGAAGTTTCTGGCCCCTGAGCTTCACTCAAGGTTGCCCCAACACCTAATCCTCCAGGGTTCCCAATTTCCAATTCCAGTCTGCCCATTGAGCTCCCAGGCACCAGGACATCTCCTGGTGTTGAGCAAGTGACAGGCTGAAGAATTTGGGGGCCATCTAAGGGGTCCTGTCCTTCCCATTCCTGAGACTGCTGTTTGGCCCAGCCACAGTGACATTCATCCCCCGGTGGGTATGGCCTCCTCCTTACAACCCACCGACAACAATGAATGTTGATTGTGACCTTTGCTGTGGCCTGAGGGAGGGGTGGCAGGCTGCCTGGGGCTTTCCCAGATCTAGAATGTGGGGAGTGATGGGGTAGACGGCAGTTCCAGGCCTCGGGGTCCACTCAACGGTCGATGGTTTGTCTGAGCTGCTCAAACTCACCGACAGGTTGAATGTTCCCCCAAACCCTTGGCAAGTTCTTGGTGAACTGAGTGGGGAGTGCGCCAGAAGAGCGTAGGGAGCATATAGAGTGATGGAGAAACCAAGGTCCCTTTGACTCAGGAAATCAGCCATCAGTTATTCAGTGTCAGCTGTCTTTTTGGAGACCCAGAGAAGCAGCACAACTCAAATCATAATTTAAAAAACGCAGCCCTTGAAACAGAGGCGACAATGTGCCTGTCGCAATTCATGTGCTTTACTTAAGGGCTGCACCCACGGCTGACATCGCAGTACTCTGGAGTCGGGAAGCTTGGGACTGACTGCGGCAGCAAATTCCAGGCCAGTCTGAGCTAGACTGAGTTCCTGGGGAGGGCTATGCAGTGAGATAAAAAGAAGGAAAATCTTTCAAAGTGGACCTGTGAGGTGCAGATTCCCCTCACAGGTAGTTGGAAAGACTGGTCCAAAAGAACACAGAGCTGGTAAGTTCCTAGCCACCATTCTGGGAAGTCTGGTAGCCACCAGGTTCTGGCCTGGGGTGGGCATAGAAGCACGTAAACAAGTTACTTTAACACAATGTAACAGGGCTCCCGGGGCTAGCTTGGTTGTGAAATAAATAAGTCTTTCAATACAATGTAGACCTTCTGCCTTCCCATGGTCCTAAGCTTGGATTCTACGTTTCAGAGCCCACTGCAGCTTTTCCCAGCCTAACGGTGAGCTGGGAAAGGAAGGCCTTACCACCCACTCTGGGTCTGAAGCCTTCTAAATGGTTTAAGGAGGGGACAAGATTCCCCAGGCCTTTGGCTGTGAGTGGAGCCTCTGCTAACTTTGCTTTAACTGAACTCCTGATACCTCAGTGAGGGAGTGATGACCCTTAAGGATCTCTTGAGGTCCCACAAGACAGATCAGGAGCACCAGAGTGGACTACGCTTGTGTGAAACTCCAGTGGGGCAGCGCCAGTTTATGTAGCCCCAGACTTGCTCTGAATTCAAGTCTCTTCCAGGATCCACTAGGACTCCTGAAAGCCTCCAGATTCCACCACCTGAGAGCTTAGGTCCTGTCTAGTACCTCATTGTGGTTCCTGAGCACCCCAGAGTCCCCTAGAAGTTCAGCTCCTTCCAAGGTCCACCCCAACCTGCACACCCAAACCAGGCCCCTGACCCCAGCAAGACTCAGGAAGCACTCCCACTTGGTAGCGCCCTTAACCCTGCTTCCTCAGCCCAGGTCACATTCCCAGCCCCGGGCTGCTGGCCCGTGTACCTGGCCAGCAGCGCCCTCTTTCCGGCCAGGGGCTAAGGGGCAGCCCTACCACTGCCTTGGGAAAGGTGAGTCTCCTGCCTTGAGCGCTCTCAACCCTGAGGAAGTTATCACCTAGACTGGTCAGAGGTAAGCCAGGCGCCCGGGCTTTGCACAGATCACCGCTGTACTTCAGGGGAAGGGGATGCTTCGAGGTCAGAACAGTTTTTAGGGGATTCCTGAAAGCTAAAATTGATGTTTATGAGGCACACAAGATACTCTGGGCAGTGAGGGTCATCCTTCAGACAACCCTCTTTTATTCTGTTAAGTCCACTTTGCTTACTTCCCCCTGCCGAACTTTTGTCCTTACGCAATGGGAGGTGTCTGCTAGGGACATTCCCAGCAGGATAGCATTGCCTGTGGGAGTCTGGCGGAGGGGAAGGGGGCGTGGCGTGGTGGAGATGCCTGGCCCCGCCCCCTCCTGTTCTCTTTGTCTGCAGGCGTGGTGCAGGCTTCCCGCCCTCGCTGTCTGTTTGCGCTTGCCTGCCCTTTGTCAGCGGGGGTCGCCTGTCTGGGTCTGCCTGCACCCTTCCTGTGCGTTTGTGCGTCTGTCCCTTTTCTTCCCGGTGCGGCTCCGGAAGGTGGTTGGCAGGCATGCCCCTGGTGTGTGGGGATCACAACCCTGACCCGAGTTCCAGTGTCTGGGGGCTGATAGCATACTTCCCGCCATGTGTCTGCTATGTGCTTGGGCAGGAGGTTTAACTTTGAAGTTCCGTAGGGGAAATGGGGGTGGGGGGGACTCTCCAGGTCGTGGTGTCAGTCATCTTGGAAATGACCCAGGTGGGTCCTGCCCCGTGCTCACTCTGAGCAGCAAACAATGCTGGGGAACTAGAAGTCAGGTTGAGGTGAAATGCCAGTCCCAGCCAGTGGGGAAGGAGTAGTGGATGGGTCAGCTGTCTGCTGTGTTCTGCCCCTGTGGTCAGAGTGTATGCTTGTGTGTAAGTCAGTGGGGCAGAAGGGAAGAGAAGGTAGGCCTGGAAACAGCCTATTATTGGGAGTACAGTGACAAGACAGGCGGGAATCTCCATGGGGTCACACCGGTGGCCCAGGTTGCCAGACCTCTTTTTGCCACATTTATGTGGATCCCGGGGTACCCACCCTTCCTTCCCAAGCTTCTCCAGGGCTTCCAAGATATTCATGTCTTTCATGGGGGTACTCAAACAGGAACTCGCATGTCCTACCCAGCCTGGGTGTAGCGGGTGGGCCAAAAACTCAAATTTTCAGACTGGCTGGATGTGAAGCCAGGGCTGTAGGCTATTGTGAGGAGGGGTCTGGCCGCTCCTGGGTTAGGGGCTATGATGAAAGGCTGATGGGAACTCCAGATAATCTTTTGAACTTCTTTAGCTCAAGGTGCAGAGTGGTCCTGGTTATGCATCAAGAGGCTGTCTACACAAACTCATTTGTCTACTGTATACTCCTGTTGGGGGTCTAAACTATTCCCTGGGGCTAAAGGGAACTCACTTGGGGGTGGGGTGTGTCTGGGTGTGTGAGTGCCACAGTGCGTGATACTAGTAGTGTGCCTGTTAGTCTATGCAGCCACTTCTGGGGGCTTGCTTGCAGGTAGACACCAGCACTGTGGGTGGGTATGTCGGGTTCACTGTGTGTGACTGCAGGTCCATGTGTGAACAGGCGTGTGTGGGCGTCTGGGGCTCCTTAGAGTACTGGGGGCCTGCAGTCTGTCAGCCCATGATGGCCTCCTTCAGGCCCAGCCCCGCTCAAATATCAGCTGTGTTAAGGAAGGGAATTCACTGAGTCACATGAATGTCCCCAGAGATAATTGCTGCCTGGCACATGGTAGCTGCTTAATAAATGTTGTTGGACATGGTGGCTGTGGGACCTGTCACCTCTGTACTTGGAGGCAGAACACCTTTAACCCCAGCTCTGCAGAGGAAGGCAGATCTGAATTTGAGGCCAACCAACCTGGTCTACATAGAATGAGTTTCAGTGCAGACAGGCTC